AACCATATTACATTATTTCTTAACCTTATTACATCAAAACCTTTTCTGGTATAGCATTGATACCACCCCATAGATTTTTTCTTACTTGTTTCTTTTTTGGTAATGGCAAAATCTCTGATTTGTGTTGGACGAGTAAAGATGCGTTTATGTCATTTAGGCTTGTGAGTTTGAGTAGAACCAAGAGCAAACCTTGTGTGCATGAACTGGTCCTTCAATTCATACACCAATTAAATTTAAATTTGTGCTTTGGCGGGGATTCGAACCTATACCAAAAATTTGAATTCGATTTTTTCAAGCAATTGAAGTTCGTCTTACTAACCAATCACACTTTTATCTCCCAAGAGATTTGAAGATTTTGATTTCAAGAAAGTAAAATTTTTATAAGGTAAAGAGTATCATTGGACTAAATAGAATTGATTTTTTATATTTGTTAGCTAACAAAGATGCTTCGCAAGAGATTTAGAAAGTAAAACTTTAGTGTTCTCAGGTGCCATAAAGTAAATATGATTTATTAGGAAAAAGTTTGCACCTTTATTTGTTATGCACGTGCATTGCTTCAACTTTGGGTGCATATTAATTTTACCCCTCTATATAAAAGGGTGCTAATCGGGTGGATTGAAAATTCAACCCAACCCAAGTTATAAAATATTTTATCTGAGTTGAAATCAAATTTTATTTTAAATTTGTTTTATTCGACTCAAATATCGTCTATGCATACTGTTTTTACTCAATTTGAATTGGATTTCTGAAGTCCAATTGAAAATTCAAGTTCTACTGGGGTTTGATTTTCAAGTTATACGGCTTGAACTTAAATTCTTATTGAATTGTTGCTAAACTTGAATTTGATTCTTTACAAAGAATAGGGGTTCAAAACAAATTGAAAACGAATTTAGTAGTTTTGGTTTAGTTCCTATTGGGTCTTCAAAACCCAAGATTCTGCCTAGAGTCTTACATAAATTTAAATAGGATTGATTTTTTTTTTTAGTCGAAACTCAACTCAAATACTAGATATTTCGAATTGGACTCTAATTATGTTCAAATAGTCTTACCCAAATCACACTCCTACTTTCCACCAAGGTCGACTTCATCGTGGGGTAATTTATGAGTCAAAATTTTCATTACCATTCACCTTTTTTTCTTTTTTGGTCATTTTTTAGAAAAAAGCAACTTTATAAAAACAAGAGCATGCTAAGTGCCATGATTAATTCTCTACTCCGACATTGTTGTTACAAATATGTTTAAACTTGTTGGTGCATTGCCTCCATTTGAATTTGAAGTTCCAAATCAATCTTTTATCATTATCATCATTGCTATTACATTTTCTTGAGATCACTTTGGGAGTTATCCCAATAAAGAGAGAGGTAATCAAACAAGAAAATATGAAGAATAACAAAGTGAAAATCAAAGTTAAAAGTAATTTTTTTTTTGGGTAATAGAGGGAAATCCTTAGTTTGTCTCAGAAGAGTAAAGGCAGGCGCATTTTTGTCGCTCAAACTAGTGTATTCGAGTAGAATTAACGGCAAATCCCTAATGCATGAGCCAGTTTATTAAACTATATATTAGTTAAATCAGGATTTGTATTTCGATAGATATTTGAATTCATACTAAAGACTTAGATACGGTTCGTGTAATCAATTGAGATCTGTCATATTAATCAACCACGCTTTTGTCGTTCAAAAGAGTTGAATCCTTAACTTCAAAAAAAACAAAATATTTACGAGAAAAAGTATACCATGGCGTGAAACTTTATTAGATCGTATGGCAACAAAATAAGCGAACAAACAGGACAATAGCAAAATCACTTGTAAGAGACTTTTAACAAACAGGACAACAGCAAAAACACTTGTAAGAGACTTTTCAGGTACATGATGACATAAATGATTCGCTCATGGTTTTTGTGAATTCGGATTTTGTATCGTAAATAAAGTTGTTAAACACACCAAGTTGTTCGAGTTCGGTTTTACCGCGTTTAAGTTTGGACGTATTAAAAAATGAACGTAACATAACCATTATTTTAAACTCTTTTAGTCATTAATACTCGAATCACATCTAAACATTGCGCCTGTCAAATTTATTTATTTGATGGCACATCTTTATGAATAAATGGTATCACGAGATACAATACAATTGTAGATATGAGTCCTTATATTAGTGTGATTTTTGGCATGTCACAATATTTGTGGAAAGACCAAGTTAGATACTTACTCAAATTCAAGCTCGTAACATATAATCGACAACTGATTAAAAAAATAAATTAAATTTGGGTGAGTTCAAAATCATCAAATGGGCTTGAGCCGACTCGAATACCTTATACTTATAGTGTGGCCGACACATTCTATTTAATTAGCATACCAAGTTGTAGTTTACAAACGATTATTTTTTATAAAATAAGTAAAGGGATATAAAACAAAAAACTCATTGACCCCCACTTTTTTTTTTTTTTTGGGTTGGACATATTTGTGATATCATCATACTTTTTTATTAAATAAAAAAATTGACACATAAATATTTTTTAATTATTTTATGTTATTTTATTTTTTTACAATTAATAATTATAAATAACTCAAACTAATATTGTAATGAAAAATTATTTATAAATCTTAATACCATCACCTTCTCTTATTTTCAGAAATAACCCCCTCCCCTCCCCCTTAACAACCTGTCAAAAGCTTTTGTAGTGTTTGTCAATTCCGAACGCTCGTGTTCTCTCTCTCTCTCTTCAATGCTAAATTGCTAATACTTTTTGTCTTACTATACCCACGAAGTGGCAATCCACAGAGAGAGAGAGAGAGAGAGAGAGAAAGGCAGGTGAGGGGGGTGGTGCTGTTGATGATAGTTGAACGTGAAAACTGCAGAGAGGAAGGAAAATGGAGCCCCAGTCTTTTCTTCAGTGGAAAATTGTGTGGTTAATGGTCCCACCAATGCAAACCCAGATGTCAAGTATTCTTCTTCTCTCATCGTCATCAGTAGAATTGGCCAACATCGTAAAGCTCTCACAAACTTTCACTTTCCAACCTCTCTTTTTCTTCTTCAACATCTTCTTATGTTTCTCTCTCCTCTGGTTTTCCACTTTCCTCAGTCTTTAACGGCTGCTTCATACCTAATTCCTCCATTATAATACGTGGGTCGGTGTTTTAGCCGTATGGGTCTCTCTCTTTATGGACGGTGAAGATAGCACAAACCTAAAGAAAAAAAAAGCTTCAGTTTTGTTCAGATTCTTTTCTTTTCTTTTCTGGGTGTGGGTTGGAATTCTTAGAATTTATCGTAAGACTGATCTGGGTATATCAGTCTTGTGATGAAAAACTTGTGTTCTTCAGATATATACTAAGATTGTGAAATTTTTACAATATTTTTTCTTGCGAGTGTGAAGATATGCATTGAATTTTCACGACTTTGGAGTTTCAGTTTTGCAACGAAAAGTCGCACAAAGACAATATTTCAATTTTGATATCAGTCTTTTTGTTGGACATATAGCCATTGAAGAAGATTGATCAAGGGTATCATAGGTTTTGCCTAGAAAAGCTTAAACATTTTATCTTTAAGGTCTTTAGAACTTGCTAGCTTGTTGATGTCATCATAGTGGTTTTGGTGTTGCAGTGGTTGAACATTTCACACATTGAATGAGAATTCTTAGTTACTACTAGTTAAATGTGAATTACAAGTTTGTTAGCTTGTAGGACTGTGGTTTTGGGTTGAATCAATTGTTATTGGATATGGGTTTAGTAGCCTTGAAGGGAAAGATTGAATACTTTCTAAGATTTTGATCACATCCTTCAACTGAGAGGATTGTTGATCAGTTTTACTTACTGTAAGTTTGATTGGTGATTGATTGAGTAATTACTTAATCATAGTTTTAGAAGTTTTGAGTGTGTATGGTTTTCATGATTGGTCTTTTCGTCAAAGGGAACATCAGATTGCCATTGCCAGAAGTTCGCAATATTAGTAGATAGTGTGAAGAAATTGTGGGGCTTATGGGTGAAAAGCAAAAGGGAAGTTTTGATTCCTTGCCAGCCACAGGAAGCTAAAGTTTCTTGAACTTCAATCTATTGGAAAGCTTGAGGATTTGAAGTTGGAATTGTTGATTTTCTTGAAAATTATATTTGGCTGCATACTTGTTTCTGTTGGACTTGCTGATTTTAAGGGCTCAAAATTTCAGGTATTTTCTCTGGCCTTCCATCCTTGTAATCTTTGTTTTTTGCTTAGTTCTACACTTTATTCTGCAAAGATGGCAAATTGGTTTTTGCTTCTTCCTTATTTTTGCTTCTTTTTTTTTTTGGGCTGGTGTGTGTTTTTTATTTTTTTTTTATTTTTTTTTTTTTTGTTTTTTTTTTTTGGGGGGGGGGGTTCATATCTCCTCTGCTGCTTCTTTTTTGAATCCAGGTTCTTGTTAATGATCAGATCAGCGAGTCATCTGAACCAAACTAGACATTTGAGTCTGTCAATTTTACATTGCTGGACTATAGTTTTTTCTGCAATTATTGTGATAATGTCTTAATTGGAAGGTTAATGGAAGACAGATTCCCCACTTATTACAATCATTGTTTAAGACCAAGGATATCTTCCTGAAAATGCAATCAGCTCGTTTGAATCAGCCTACTTAATGTTCTCGGAATCCCAGGTTAAATGTGTTAAGCCCTCAATGTGCAATTCAGATTTAGGTGTCTATTGTTCAATTATGGTATATCTTATTTGGATTGTTTTTTAGTTCAAAGACAAGAACTTCCGAATCTGAAATTATTTTTCTTCCAAATTTCCCTTCTCACGTAAGTTTTATTTAAAAAATTCTTGTGTGTGTTGCTTTGAAGAATTTGCTTCAAGTATTTGTTTTTCAGTTAAGAACCAGAGTAAGAACAAAAAGTGAGTCTTCTTCTCCATATACTGTCTGCTCTTTCTTAATCTTTGGATATTCATTTTTGTGTTTGTTTTGTTGGATCAGGTTGTATTAGTCAGAAAAGTTGGACGAACACGACTTGCTAAAATCAAAGAACCACCCATTCAGTATGGCAAAGAGATCATTGAGACGCCCCTTACGGTATGAAAGGGATCAGGCAGGGTGTATGTGGGGTTTGATCAGTATCTTTGACTTTCGCCATGGCCGATTCAGTCAAAAGTTGCTTTCAGATAGGAGGCGTGGGAGAGGGCATGCTACTGGTAAGACCTCTGTTTGGTATGCAGATTTAACTAATTGATTTTTTAATTGGCAATATTACCCTAAATGCATACTACTTTTGAACAAGAAAGGATGGTTTGGGGGGAAGAGCCTGTAGGAAGTCAAAGACACTTACACAAGTATTAGTAGCAACATAATTGAGCTGAACCATTATGTGCCCACAATGAGACGCCATCCAAGACAAAGAAAAAAAAATCAACTTGAACTTCTTTAAGTTTCTCCACATTGTAGATCGTGACTTCTTGTCATTGTTGAATTCTTGTGTTTTTACAGGTGCTGGATATTCTAGGACAAAAGTGGACATGCTGACAAATTTTGAAGACGAGTGTCAAAGCATTGTGGTAATTTTGGGCAAGTTGTACTCGTATTCTAACATAATGGTTATGTGTGAGTGGACTTTAGGCCATCAAGTTGGATGAGCTCTACCTTTTCTTTGTGTTTAGGATTATAAATACACTTTTTTTCTTACTTTTAATCTTTATATGCTGGTGCTATTAACTTCCAAATTTACAGGATGGTAAAGAAAGTGAAGCGACAACAGCTGATGCAATGAAGACAAGTGTGAAAGAACTCATGGAAGAAGAGATGTCTAATGAGGAAGGTTCAAAGCAGCAGACAAAAAGCCCTGAAGTTGAACTGAAACAGTTTGATTCCAAACATGGAGGTCAAGTAACAAGCAGCGGCAAGCAAGTAAAAAGGCCTGGTAAGAAATCTTTTGACTCACAAATGAGTGATTTGGATGCCGCTAGAAACTTAGGGCCTGAAGACTCTTGTCATCAAGGTGCACGGGAAAAAAACTCGAAAAATCCTGATCTGGAAGTTATGATGGAAGAACTCTGCCACCAGTTCCATCAGAAAAGTACTAGTTATGTGAAGCATGATAGTCTTGATATGCAGTCAAAGCAGGAATACTCTGTTTTTCAAGAAAAATTAAGTACAGCAATTAAGGTGATCATAGATCAGAGGTCTACTGATGAAAAATGTCTTACAGAAGGTGGAGCAACCCACGACTCTAAAGAATTCGTGGATGCACTTGAGATGTTGTGTTCTAATAAAGAATTGTTCTTGAAACTTGTTCAAGATAAAAAATCACCATTGCTGAAGCCCATTCAAGACTTGGAAAATGCTCTGCTAAATGAAGATCAAAATTCCAACATAGTGACAGGATACAACAAGTTTGAACAGGATCTAAGCAAATCAAAACCAGATGAGCTTGTCATTCGTAAACGCCGCAACTTTTTCAGAAGAAAAAGCAAGTCTTTGGAGAATATCCCAATGAAGGGAGATGAAATGTGTCAACCTTCAAGTAGAATTGTCATTTTGAAGCCTGGACCAGCAAGCTTGCAAAATTCTGACACTCAGGTCAATTTTACTACACCATTGCAATCCCCTTGCAACATGGAGAATAAAATGCAGGGTGAAAGGAATCCTTCCCAATTTTCTTTTACTGAAATTAAAAGAAAGCTAAAGCATGCCATGGGAAAAGAACGACATGGGATCTCTGGAGATTGTAACACTCACAGATTTCCTTATGAGCATCAAAACATGGGGGATGGCGAGAAAGGGGATGGTGGGGAAAGTGGTGGATGGAGTTCTCCAAATAGAAACCATTTTTATACTGAAAAATTTGCCAAACCTTCAATCGGCGTCAAGAAGAGAGACAAGATTGGCAAGTCAAGAGGCTCTGAGACAAGTGTGGTAAGTGAACCCACTGGATATCCAAGGCATGGGGTGCCTAATCTCTATCTCGAGGCCAAGAAACATCTCTCAGAAATGCTAAGCAATGGAGACGAAAATGCAGACTCAATGAGCAGGGTAATACCTAAAACCCTGGGAAGAATTCTTTCTCTTCCTGAGTACAACTTTTCTCGTAGTGGTAGTCCAGAAAAGGACAATGAGCATGGCTTTGTAACCGCAAGGATGAGATTGTCTCCTCGCAGCAATTCTCAAATGGTGAATGAGAATACATGGCAGCTCGTACAAGAAATCAATGCCACTGATCCGAGTTCATCAATGCAAAATTTTGAGGTTCAACAACACATTGCTGATGACAACCCTGATGAGGAAGTACCATCTTCTGATTACAACCCTGATGAGAAAGTACCATCTCCTGTCTCAATTCCAGGTCTTTCATGTGACCATAATCAGAATGATTCAGAGGAAGAAACCCTATCTCCTACAAGAGATGAGATGGATTCAGAAGGTATTGCTGTTACCTTTCTCCAAAACATGGTGGGAAGAATTTCATTTATCATTGTGCTTATATTGATAATTGTTGGTGTTTATCTATCCGTTTCTACACTCTCTCCAGGTATTGTAGATAATCTCAAAACAACCAATTCTGGATATCAGAAAAACAGCCAAGTCTTGGATGTTTTGCTTGAACCAAGTGGCTCTTTAGTAATTGGAGATACCCAGAGTTGTGACACTGCTGAAGTTTGTGATGAGGAAAGGTCTTCTCAAAGCCTGAAATTGGTAAAGTTTTGTTGCTTACTGGTGTTTTAATTCAAAATCGTTAATAATCTTTTTTATTTTTACTAGTCAAAGAGTTTAAATGTTATTATAAAATGAAAAGCTGATCCATCATCCACCAAAGGCAGAGAGGCAATGGTCGTGTCTCAACTACCGTGTGTTTTTGTGCTCTAATGTTTTGCCATTCGTGTTCCCATTGCATGGTCTTAGAACATCCTTGCTTTTCTTTTCCAGGATTCATTAGAAGAGGATCAGATGTCTTCTCCATCAGCATCCCCATCGAGCTCTTCAGTCACCAGAAAAATTGAAGATCCCGATAGTGTCATTGAGAAAACAGAACGGCCTAGTCCAATATCTGTACTCGAGCTGTTATATGCAGAAGATGATATCAGCCCTGAAAAAACCATACCCCGGCCTAGTAGGTTTCCATAACTCCATTTCTCATTAATGTTGTTATACATTATATTTCTCTCACGCTAAGTTAAAGCCATCCAAAAAAATTGCAGTTGAATCAGCCATTCAACCACTAAAAATCCATTTTGAAGAACGATCATCTTCTGCTACTGAACAAGGATTCTGTATAGGAACTGGTATGGAAGATGAGGAATCTGAGTTTGAATATGTAGAAGCAGTGCTGCTAGGTTCCGGCTTGAACTGGGATGAATTTCTCTTGAGGTGGCTTTCTACGGATGAAGTTCTTGACCCAACATTGTTTGAGGAAGTTGTATTATTTTCCAACCGATCCTGTCATGACCAAAAGCTCTTATTTGATTCTACCCATGAAGTTCTGAAGGAGAAATGTGAGCACTATTTTGGTTTCTTCCCTACGGTATCATCTGTTAAATCGAACATTCAGCCTGTCCCAAGGGGAATCAACCTTATCAATGAGGTATGGGAAGGAGTTGAATGGCATATCCTCCAACAGGCTTCTCCACATTCTTTGGATCAGCTTATCAGAAAAGACTTGGCAAAATCTGGCACATGGATGGACCTCCGATTTGAGACTGAATATACTGGTGTTGAGATTGGGGCCGTCATTCTCGCAGATTTGATAGAGGACACTGTATTGAGCTTAGCAAATGATACCCCAGAGGAAGAATTTCCTGTGCTTCTCAATGGGTTGAATGGAAGTGAGAGTGATGTGGACTTAAAAAACAACCTTGTTTCAAGAAGTGGCCTTCCTCGAGTCAGAATCGAAGCAAAGTAAACTAATCAATTCTTGTGTATCTGGGGAATGGGCAGTGACACCTCAGAATCTCACCAAGTTAGGTTAGGCCTCATCTGGCTCTCACTCAAAATTTTACATGAAAGTTCCAGGAAATGTTTTTCTAATCTTTTTCTACTGAAATCAGATGAAAATAGTAGTTAAGAGTTATCTAGTTCATTTAACCCTACAACAGTGGAGCTATCCTTGGTGGAAAGCTACAAAATAAAGGATCTTTGCCACATAGAAAGGGATTGGAAACATCCAGTTTCTATGGAAGTGCTTCTTGCAAAGACAGAAGATGTTGATTTGCCATTGCATAATCAAGACCATGAAAAGAGTCAATTCGGGTTCAGCGGATTTAACCCGACGACAGAGGAGTTCTTAAGTCTTAACATTGTAGAATTTGTAGAATTGGTGTGTTAAGTGTGTGGATCTTTTCCTTCTTTTTTTTTTTTGTAATTGTTCTCATTTTCACATACTTTTTGCTGCTGTAGTTAGAGTTTGGAGTTGTAACTAGTCGGTTTTAGTTTGAAAAGAAATGGAAAGGAAAGCATAACAAAAGGTCTCTTGCTCTGGTTTATGCATCAGATAATGTATATTTGTTGGGTTCTGGATTTTCATACTTCTGTTTTATCACTCGCTAGTTTCTCCTTTGATTTGTTAACCATAAAAATTTCCGGAGTTTTCTGTCAGATTTTTTTTTTTGGCTTTTTGCACTTTGTACCCCTAAAAATATCTTGATTCCCACTTTGCACCTCGAAAGATGATTGTTCCCACATTGCATCCTGAATGTCATAAATTAGTTCCAATATTCCCCTCGGACTATCCTCAGTTTTAGATTTCATTAAAAATTAATGCACATGCCACCTAAAGATATAAATGGTGAATTTACTTTTTTATCAAAGAGCAATACATATTGGTGGCAAGTGCATCAATTTTTAACAAAATTTGAAATAATAGATGTCAGTCTAAGGGCTACATTGGAACTAATTTATGACATTTATAATATAATGTGAAAAAAATAATTTTTTGGGGTGCAAAGTGAAAATCTAGACATCTTTTGGGGTATAAAGTGTGAAAAGCCTTTTTTTTTTTAAGTTCACGGAAAAGAGTGTTTTGATCAGTTTACGCACACTTTGACTGATTTCCCCTTCGGCCAGTTATAGTCAGGTTATATATTGCATATGGCTATGCTCATAAAAACTAATTATATCCTTTCTTCACATCACTTGTTACAATAAGAAACTGAGATCCGAGTCATGTCCACTGTCATATTCTGCTGGATTGCATAGATTGGCACCACGAACTAGATTAGCAGTGGCTAGTAATTGGATGCACTTAAAATTTTGGTCTCGAAGATGCTTCCCCTTTAGCAATGTTAATCGAGTCGAGCCCTTCAAGCTTTACTCTATTCAATTAGACTATCGAAAGTTCAAATTCCGGTACAGCTTAGAATTCTACTTATAATCGAAAGTTCGAATTCCCCTGAGGCTCCAACCCACTCTCTGTTGATTGTAAATCACAGCCCTTATCTGTTAAGCTGTTATTTATTCTTTCACTCTAAAAACCTTTAATGCTTATATTATAACCAAATCGTGGTCAAAGTTATGAAGTCAATCTGCACAGTGCTCATGCTCGACTTGAATACTAAACAAGTTCAAAAATTGTCATATTCGAATCTTTTCTAACAAAATGAGATTGAACGAACCAAAAACCAAGCCGATTTTTTACAACCACTTGCATGTATTGGGTTCTGAGAATTGGACTACATAAATTGAATTTAGGGAAAAAAAAGTATTAGCATTCTATATAATTTATCTCAAAAAAAAATGTTTAAAAGTAAAGGCCCTCATCAATAAGGGTACAAGGAAGTCAAGGTAACATCAACTAAACATTAAAAAATTAAACAAACCTTGAGAGAAATTCACTTTTGAGAAGCTGGTAGGTTACTTTTGCCTCTTCAATGCATTCAGAGAAGATACTAAATTCACAGCTCTCTTCTTGGAAAATGCTTTTGTTCTGCTCTCTAATTCCTCATCACTACTGTCTTGATCAACACTTCCATCTCTTACTGATGGAGCAGAGTCCTCGGCATTTTTGGCAGCTTTTCTTTTCTCAGCATCCAACTTGGCGCGTATTTTTTTTTCAATGGGATTATTTGAAGGAAAAAATTTGTGTTCGCGTGGAACTGTTGCACCTAGTCCAAGCCTACAAAGACCTCCAAGAAAAAAAAATTAATCAATGCCCTTTTTACTTTTTTCTACCCTTTAACAGTTTACAACACTATGGATATGATAGATCATATATACTGACCTTAGAGGTCGACCCTCTAACTCCAATGCAGTTGATTCATCCTCCGAGGTTTTAGTCATATCATTAACCCATTTTTCAGCCTGTATACAAGCAATATATCTAATCATAAAAAAGCATTGCAATTAGTTACCAGCAGACAAGACAGATGCAAGTAATTAACACTGCAGTCAAGGCACATGTAGTACCTTAATGCTAACTGAAAGCTAGGAATAAAATGATCTTTCACCCATACACAAAGATTATGAGCAAAATGATACTTTTAAAGTGACAGGAAAAATCATGAATAGCCAAATCATAATCGGAAATATAGACAGAATAATATCCAGATGCTTCAAACCCTACTGTGGAGCACTGCACATAACAAATTTGTATTGAACTACATATTTTAGTGGAATCATCAGATGTATAATTGTATATCTCACTGCATAGATGGACCCCAGCTAGGCTGTTTTAGTTTTTTTTTTTTTTTTTTGTTCAACGGTGAGAGTGTCCACCACCAGTTTCAGCACATCTCGACTAATCCTCTCTCCAATCCAATCAAAAGTAAACCATCTACGCAGGGACTAGGATATTCATAAAGGATAAATCTCTTATGATCTGATCACAGGGATTGTCAAGATTCAAACACAAGAGATCTGGATTTACAGTTCGTCCATGCTATCCCTTGAGCCCTGTTACCCCTTGAGCGACGACCTTGGGTTGTTAGGCTGTTTAGTTTTTCACAGACGGTTAGGTAGTAACACATATAGTCATACATATGAACATAAGAAAGAGTTAAACTAAACTCTGTAAAATATTTACCAACTTAAATGCCCTATCCAACTTCACTATTTGAGGCCGTGAAGTCTTTTGGGATGATTTCTCTATGCTTATTGCAACTTCTTCACCAACCTAAACATTAAACATATTCATAATCAAACAACAAAGAGCAATAATAACTTAGAAAGAAAAAATTTTTACAAAAATAAGGAAACAAATAATCTGACTATAGGGGATGTAGCAAAACTCCAACTATCGAAGGAACAGTTTGATTCTCTAAGCAAGCAGGTTTTGGTAACAGAAACCCCTGAAATTCACTTACTAAGCATTGACAAAATAACATCCAAACAACAACAACAACAAAAAAAGGCATTGACAAAATATAGGTTAGCCCTAATTTAGACCCAAACGATCCAATTAACGTAGAATGTCACCCCCCGTCTACTCAAATTCTCAAACCAAAGCCCTAATTCAAAACCTCAAAACAATATATTCAGAAGTCAGCTGGCAGGGATAACTCACAGTTGGAGTGGAGGTTCCTTCGGGAGGGTTGGTGGCGTAGAAGAGAGAGAGAGATCAGCCGTGGAAGAGAGAGAGTGGCACTGCCTGAGGTTCAGTTGCCGTTGCCGGAACTGAGCGCAAGAAAGAAAGGGGACGGGAGCAGGCGTGGGGTGGGGCGGGGTGGGGTGGAGGGACCGCAGCGAGGTTGGGGGGGATTCGGATCATTTGTAATTATCAAAGAATAGCACGCGTGCTATTCGGACCAAAACGCCACTGTTCCAATTATTTTACACAGCAATCAGTAATAGTGTAATACAATGCAAAACGATGCCGCATCAGCCTTATGATAGTCAAAACACAAAAGTCACTTTCTCCAATAATTTTTATCGAGGGGAATTATAATCAGACCCTAAAATTTATCACTTGATCATTAAGATATCTTAATATTTAAAATATTATATACAGATCTTCTAAGATTTATATGCATATAACACTTAAATCTCTGTCGTCAAATGTATGTTAGTATATCAGTTAGTAAATTACACTCAATCCCCTAGGCGTAGAATACTTAGAACCTTCAAGTTCAAAATTGTAATTAACTATCTATTGTAACTAATAATAAAACTAAAAAATCAAATAAATAATCTAAGTTAGTCAGAATAGAACATAAACTTTACAACCAGAATTCATATTCCATTATGACATTTATCGAAAGAAAATTAAAATTAAAAATATAATTTTTTTAAAAAAAATCATAATTAGTATATATAATTATACTATCTATTGAAATTTAATTTGACCGTTTAAACGACAAAATTAAACTTTTTTTAATTTTATTTCAATAGATAATATAATATATACTAATTCTGTCGTAAATGGTAAATTCATTTGCAATTTGCTTTGTTATGATAAAGTACTTTTATTTTTTTGGGTGGTACTTCCTAACACAATATAAAAACACGATTTGAAAGTGACACAAAATTAACAGGTTAGATTGCTATTTCTTGACAAGAACTCGCAAATAACACAACCTATTAACACAAATAACAAATGCGTTGGGTTAATATCAAATACCAACAACACAATAAACACATAGTATTATAGGAATAAAATACTAATTTTTTATTATATTTATTGAGTTAATTTTTAATTTATTAAAAAAGTATGAGCATAAGTTCGATTGAGTGATAATGAAATTTAAACTTAAATCTGAACATTAAATTTTTTATTTACAGGTTATATGGTCAACACGAACACGAACACGAATACGACGCGAAAAAAAATAAGTCGAGTCAATATGACACGATTAGTTAAACAAATTGGGTTAAGCTTGACTAGTGTTCAACACTAATTTCAAATAACACAACACGATACGATACGATTGTCACCCCTAATTTTTTTACCTTCACTAATGAAATTGACATTTTATTCTCATCATTAATTTTAGTTTATAGAAAAATTATGAGCATAATTTTGAATAAAGTGATAATGAAATTTTAGATTTAAATATGAGCATTAAATTTCTTATTTACAAGTTAGATGGTCAATATGAACATGAAATAGCACAACACAACAAAACACAATTGTCACCCCTAATTTTTGTTACCTTGATAAATGAAATTGACATTTTATTCTTATAATATTACATACTAATTGTTTGATATTAACTTGATATATATTTATCATTCGTTTTAATGAGTCGTATCATTTACGAATTTGTGTTGAAAAACGACAACCCTAATCTATTAATTTTATCTTCTATCGTCTCAAAAATTACCTCCCAAAACAAATAAAAGTACTTTATCATAACAACGCAATTGCTAATAAATTTATCCATCGTAGCGGAATAATAAATAATTATTCCCAAGTCCATGTATTGCTATGCAGAACAAGAATTACTGGGAAATGTGGCTTTTGTGTTTTCAACTGACATAAGACTGATGCGGCATTGTTTTACATTATATTACTGATTTCTATGTAAAATAATTGGAACGGTGGCATTTTGATCCGAACAGCACCGCATGTTGTTCTTTGGGAACTGCTGACAATTCAGACCCGGTGCAGGGTAAGGGAGTTTCAGGTTTAAAGGAAACAGAGAGCGCAAAAGGCGCGTCACTGAGTCAGTAAGGAGGTAGAGAGATAGAGAGAAGGGGTTAATTGTGGGGTGATTTTTTTTGGGTAAATTACATCTAGGCCAGCTAAGGTTTGTAACTAAATCATTCGAGTTCGATTCGTTTTAGGCTCGATTAGTTTGCTTGGTTAGGTTAGTGGGTAGACATGGTGGACGGGCAGAGTTGAGACAGTGGCTTTGAGGAAAATAAAAAGGTAGAGAAAGTGGTAGAGTTATTTATAGGTTTGAGATTATTTGGATATTAATTGTGGCAATTTTATGGTTAGAATAGGGTTATGTTTGTTTGAGTTATTGGTTGGGTCGTTTGCAAATTGTTGTGTTGAAAATCGGTGTAAGTATAAATTATCTTACCTAAAGGGGTCTGTGTATTAGTGATAAACCTCAATACAACAACGATGATATTATCTCACTAATAATAAAATCTAGAGGTCCCCAAAGTATATAATTTATCTCATTTTAATCCCTAATATTTTAATTGTATTATTTTAGTCTTTAAAATATTGAATATATTTCTATGTGATCCCTCAAACAGACAATGTTTAAATTGCTAAAAAATTTTGATCATAAGCTTGTCACATAACATTTAAATACAAGAAAAAAAAATAATTTGGATAACTCTTGGCCAAAATTCTACCCAAATTTTGGTCAAAAAGCTAACTAAATTACACAATTTTGATTATTAATTATCCAAATTTTGGTCAAGGTTACCCATATTGCACATTTTTTGTCAAGAGCTACATAAATTTAAGTCAATAATTACCAAAACTATTTTTTGTCAATATTTAGGTATCACGTGATAAGTTTATGATAAAAAATAATTAGCAATTTGGATGTTGTCTATTTGAAGGACCATATAGAAATATATTCAATATTTTAGGGACCAAAATGATGCAATTAAAATATTATGACCAAAATAAGACAAACTCTATACTTTATGGACTTCTAGTGCAATTAACCCTAAAATCTTAAATGGATAAACCCCAATTTGATAGTTATTGGTTTACATAGAAGAAGATTTGATAGTTATTCACTTAAATGGAATAATAGTGAGTCTGCTTATATGGACAGGTAATTATTGGTTTGTGTGGGGTTTATTTTCTTATTTGTTTGTATATTATTAGTTGGTGATATTATGTAACAATATTGAGGTGGCATCACCATTATAAGGAATATTTTTTAAAAAGGGATAGACAGAAAAAAATTTGGGAATAATTTTATATATTTTGATTGATTATAAATTATATAAGTTGATAACTTTTGATTGAATATAAAATGATTTGAATAATTTTTTGTGTTTTGTTTGAGATATTTTTCACATGTTTACTTGTAATATTACTAGTTGGTGCACACGTGCGTTGCACGTAGATTATTTTCAATTTAAAATGGTGTATATTATGTGTATAAAACTTAATAAGTATTTGACAACTTCTATAGCAAAACAATTTACTCATAATCCACTAAATCTTGATTCTTGATAAATAAGACTACCCATGTTATATGCATGTAAAACTAAACTATAGTTTACGAGATGTCAGACATATAGAAACTGCTTTTGCCACGCATAATTTTGAATTCTCGATATCTGCATACTTCTATTTATGAGTGAAATTCAATGGTTCAAAAAATATAAAAAAGACATAGACTTATTGCTTAAAGATATCTTATACAATGCTCCAAAAGAATGACAGCTCCATACAAGATTTGAACTACAAAACATCATTCCTTTTTTGCTCATAAATCAAAATCAGACGGTAAAATTTTTTCATGTGTCAGATAAATACACTTATTGAAATTCTTATAATTACATATAAAATATGATGAAACAATTTATGTATGGTCCACTCATGCATAGACATCCATAACTACAATAAGGAATGGTTACTGCTTTTAAAAGATTCCAGATTGAAAAATGGTCTACAATATAAGATACAATTCAGAAATTTAGTAAACACAATGTTTATACTTCGAGTAATAAAAATATTAAAATGAGTCTCATATATGTATAACTTAACAAGGTACCTAGGGAAAAAAAAAAAGAGTTACAATCCCACTAACCAAGTTTTGGGACATCCTAGATAGCTTCAGTTACTTATGTGAATAAAATGTTAGAGCTCGCTCCTCTATGGTCGCTTCTTTCAATTTGAACTTTCCGTAACATTGAAATGCCAACACCTAATAAGCTACTGTAGTTATTAGCTCATAAGCTATATTCTATAATACACATCTCATAACATTTAATATGTCAGCTTTCCAACTTTCATAGAATAACACATAAATACCACTAAGCACAAACCATATTTCTATTTTGAAATTTCTTAACTCAATGGCAAAATATAGATGAGGGGGTTCTGCAGGTAAGCAAAAGCTTTGCAAGATTAATGAGACAGGTTAGACTTCAAGATATTATTCGAGGTCGAACTATTAGATGTGCAACTATCTCTAATCTAAAGTACTTGCAGTCCAGGTCATAGGTATGTGCAAGGAGATTTCAGAAGGTCAAGGGGAACACTGCATTCCCCTAAAAAGAAAGAGTTTCAAAATTTTTGAGACAAGGACAAAAAAGTATGTCCATTAGAATTGATGATTTGTGATGTTATCACCTTAATTCAACAAAATCCTAATCTAACAGTTTCAGTTTTGGCTACTCAAAACATATTTTATTTGTCTCGTTTACTTAAAGATAATATAATTGGGTTATTCGACAGGAAACCATGTCAAGAAATTCCCTTTCTGGTCTTTTGCACAATTGGCATCACCTTCATTGTGAATTATACACTTGCAACTAATGCAACCATTAAAGTGCACTGTCAAAAGAAAAATCTCAATTAGGACTCGTTTTTTCTTTATAAAAATATGACACATATTCTGATCATTAGATTCATTGTTATGTTCTTATATTTTTAGCACTCATCTAACAGTAGAGTTTCTTCCTCTTATCACCTATATGATGTGGATAAAAAGAAATGAAAAACATATTATCATAATATTATTCATATAATACTTGCATTCAAATAAGTTATGTCAAAAAAACATATGAATTCACATATTGGTTCAAACGGTCAGAAAAGGTGGGATGATAGCACTCTATCTAAAGAAGGAACACATATCATTTTCTTAGAAAAAGAGAGACTGCTATGAAGAGAGAACAAAAGTAAAGAGTATTTGTTTAGCCATTGGGTGAGTTTCTCAGGTTGGGTTTCTTGAGATTTTTTACATTTAGAAATAGTTTATTATGTCAAAATATCTTCTTTTTAGTTAATATTTTGCAGAGATAAACTGAATTAGAATAAACAATACCACATGGCAGGAATGGATTATCCAAACCAAATTCAAAGAAGACCATTTGATCCTTTTAAAACAGTTCTGGTATGATAGCAAAGTTGATGTTTAAGAATCGAAGTGCCCAACCCCTAAATAAACTTATAAGAGTGCCTTCAACCTACGACCAATGTTACGAAAGATCATAAAACCTCACAATCCCATCCAAGTGTCTGACAGTGGGAAGCATAGAGAATGCTAAAGTACCTTAATAACTTTGAATGACAATCACGTAAGTCATTTACAAAGCCTGCAATTTTTTTGGACTGAAAATCTACAACTCAACATTATATCAAAACCAGTGATGATTACGAGTGATCAAATTTAGTCAAAGCCTAAAATATATTTGAACTTCAATTAAGTTCCTAAAACTTTTATTTTCCTAATTCAAATATATGTGCTCTACCATATTTTCTTTATCCATAATCATAATTTTTTGTTTCAATTGAAAGTCAACCTGTTATTGAACTTTTACACCAAGTTTGAACCATCCAAAACACTCTACACAACCAACAAAATTTAATGTGCACACATGAAACATACACACATCGAATTTGACCAAGTTTTTGGCACTTATAGCTTCTTTTTTTTTTTTTTTTTACCAAAAAATTCGCCCATAAGTCAGGTACATTATCTAATGCAAATATAAACTTATATAGCACGAGAGAGTTTATAACAAAATTTGGAAATCCTACCCAAAAAAGAATCAGAACCAAAATTAGTAACCCAACACTCAGACAAACCTTTGGAGTTTGGACACCATATCCAAATTGGAAGAAAGACCCATCACACAACCAATGCGATAATACTTCAGCCGAGGTTGATCGTTAAAAAAAAGCAAAACAAATTGATCGATCAAGTTCAAAAATATAAACATAAGTGAAGAAAATTGAAACTTAATTACGGGAGAAACTTTCCCTTATGAGATTAATCAACAATCTTGTCCGTTAGCTCCTAATGAATAGTCTACATAGAATTTCATAGACACATACATGGGCGCATACCCACATTATTAGAATCAGAAACCAAGTTCAGGTAAAATAAGTTGAAGAGAGATGAGTGTTGCTGAGTGCTTACCTGGAAGATGGCTTCGTAAATGATTTCGATTCATTCGTACCAATCATAATTTCTAGGGTTTCAGAATCAAAAGTAAAAACAAAGGCGACAAGTAATGCAGATAAAGAAAGAGGGAAAGAGGATTGGTACCTGTTGAAGCAGCATCTTGGGAGACTTTGTGAAAGCCAGAGAGAGAGAGAGAGAGAGAGGTGGGAGAGGTTTTTCAATTGGAAATCACTTTTAGACCTTACAAATTCTAAGCATTCAGTTGCCGACTCGGACTACCCGTTATTGCTTGGAATTTGTAGGGTATAAAAGCGGGTTATTGGCTTCTAATTACTGAAGGTAGGAATTTGATTGGGCGCCATTAAGTGGAAATACAGATTACCGACTGATTTAAGGGTAGATGAGTAATTAATTAAGCACTAATTTGACTTTATACAATTGTTCGAGCACAATGATGAAAATTTTTTCTTTTAAGCAGCTTTTTAAAAGTAGTATAGATATATAATATTGATATAAATAGATATATAGAGGAAGAGGAAAAATCTTTTAGGAATTGTGCCTTCCATTTCTCTTGTTTCATAAACTAATAATTTAATCTAAAAATTAGATAAAGAAAAGTATGTCATAAATGATATTAATTTATATCTATATTTATTACTATTTATAAATGTCAACATTTACCTACTTATAAATGTCAAGATTTTTCAAAAAAAAAATTATTTTCTATTTTACCTTTAATTATTACACTAAAGACAATTATGCCCGCAAAATATTAGTTAGATAAATTTTATCTCTATGACTTCTAAATTTTTTGTTGTTATATAAATTTTATCACTATATATTAGTTAGATAAAATTTATCTCTATGAGTTTCAAAATTTATCTCGACTAAAATTCTAATATGATGTGAAAAAAATTACTATTTTTTAGTATAAACAATCATAAAAAATTCATTATTGATTGTTATATATTAAAAGATTAGAAGAGTAAAGAGTTAAACTTATATATTTTTCTTTCTTTCGTACCTATTAGATTTTCAAAATATTTTAAACAATTTGATTAAAAATATATATAGATAGATATAGGAAACTTTTGATTTCCTAATTTACCCATAATTATTATACTAAAGACAATTATGCCCACAAAATATTAGCTAGATAAACTTTATTTCAATGATTTCTAATTTTTTTACTGTTATATAAATTTTATCACTATATAATAGTTAGATAAAATTTATCTCTATGACTTTCAAAATTTATCTCAAAAAATTGCTATTTTTTAGGATATAAACACAACCATCGAAAATTCTTTATTTATTGTTACATAATAAAAGATTAGATGAGTAAAAAGATAAACCCATATATTTTTTATTTTTATCATACCTATTAGACTTTCAAACTATTTTGAACAACTTTATTATAAATATATATAGGCAGATATTGGAAGATAAACATATATCTCTCTAGTAACTTCATTAAGATATTTGATCTTATATCTATGCATGGTCAACGATGCTTAGTGCTGTAAACCTTTTAGCTCTTTTTTTTATCTATCATAACATGTCTATTGCTGGTATAATATTATATTTACTTTGTTTTTCATCTATTTGGATATGCCTACTGCATAAATGTTCTATTTACATTACAACATTTTTTGTAATTTGAACTAAAATTAATTTGTATTCAATCTATCAAAGTGATAATGAACGTCCAAAAAAATGCATTTTTCATAGAATGAAAAGCTTAATCTGTTAAACTAATCTCCTAATATTTAATTGTTTATTATTAGTAGACTTGTAATATTTTAGGAGTTATTATATTATGGGCAGAATTAATTTTATTACCAAACTTCTTGAATTCATGTGATAGTGGAATAGTTTTAGATTAGTAAATTATATTTATGAGTTTTTTTAGTCTTATGTTGTAATGCCATAAATTCTCATTGGATTCAATAAGTCATTTAATGCATATATCAGTAGTCTTTTACTTCGTTAACTTCATACACTTCGTATTTTTAAAAAATATAATCAAAATTTTTTCACGTGCACCACACTTGTACATTACTAGTATAATAAATGAAAGGTGTATTGTATTGTTTTTATAATAGATTTATACATGATAGTTTAGATAACTGAGAAATGTTAGAGGATAAAAGAGAAGAATAAAAGTTTTTCAAAGATACATACTTTTTAAAGTAATATAGATAGATATAAACTTAATTTGAAAATTTAATTTATTATAACAATTGTATTAATTATGAGTTTCAATATTAGATGAAACTAAATTACAATTCAACGACCGTAATTGATACCATCCCTGAAGTAAATATCAACATTATGTTCAAATAACACTTTTGTATACTAGATAGATACGAATAATCTTGAGTTTGTGTTTGTTTATTAAATGAATTTCAAAATTAAGTTCAAGTTTAATTTATTTAATAAACAAACTTAAAAAAATAAATTAAATGAGTCAATTAATCACTTGGGCTCCACTTTATATTTTCTTATGCTAGTTTTTTTTTTTATGGATTGAAAAATAAAAATAAGGTAGCTTGCTTACAAGACTCAATATTGTAGCGATAATAATATTTTAAATTTAATTTATAGACAAAATTTGTCTCCGCCATTGACTTGTCAGTGAATCCTAATTAATGCGAAATAAAATAGTGATAATCTTTTTTATGAAAAACTTTCCGCTTAAAAAGTTTTTATTAAGGTTAATAGTCAACTTGTTTGACCTCTTTTTATAGAATTTCAAACAAACAAAATGTGGGATACAAATAAGAAGAGGTCTATCGACAAACATTTGTTGATTGGATCGGAGGCGCATCTATTAAAGTGATTTTTTAATAAGACCTACCAACTCAAGGATAATTGTTACTCAAATGACTGTTATCAGAATGTGATTCTGATCTCTAAATGAATCTGCTGTACTTATAGATTCACTGTCAATTTAGTAATTATGATTAATTAGGTCAATCATTATCAACATTCATTATATAACAATTTAAATGGGACCCACTACAATGAATCTATCCTCTCACACTATAAACCGCCATTAAGGAAAGTTGAGTCAAAATGTGTTTGAGTGATTCAAATCCCTATCAGCCACCATAATGGATATAACGTCTAAAATTACACATTAACCAAGCTAAGTTCAAAAAAAATATATAACACATAAGGGTAGTTTAGGAAAAGAACTACTCGTCTTTTTCTCCGGCACTGGAAGTTCTGTAAGCAACAACAAATCATCAGCAAACAAAGAGAAGCTAAAGAGTCAAAACCCCCCAATCCCAGCTGGAGCCTTCCTTATGTTTCTACGATTCGCTCTCTATCTGAAACCCTAATCTTTACATTTAATTTCAAATCTCAAATCTCAAATCTCGAATTTTCTCTCTCATTTTTTTTTCTCTGATTTTCCGTCAAAGTTAAAAAACCCTAGTTTCACTTTCTGCTTCAAAAACATCATCTTGAACCCTAAGGCAAGTCTTGTATTTCTTTAACTGAAGTATCAGAACTCGTTGGCCATATGAATTTAAAAAAATATAGGTTGTTATATAATTATTTCGAGGTATGCTTGATTTTGTGTTCTGTGATCGATTTACGATTTAATTTGTTGTGATTATGTACGTGTGATTGCGTAATTAGGGCCTGTACGTTTTTTATTTGGTTCTATTTGATTCAGAAACAAATTGGACTTTTTTTGGGCGATTTAGTTGATTTGTTATATGGGCTTATCAGCCTTTAAATTTGTGCTGCTGTCGAGGTTTGGATTGGTATTGCATTGATTTTAAGTTACTCGGGTGTGTTTCATTCAATGGGAAAAAGTTCAGTTAGCGACCATTTGGGATTATTTTATAGAACCTTAAGATCAGTGGTGTGATCAATTAGTCTGCTCACTATAAAGATATCTAAGAATTTTGAATTTATATAGCGGCAAAATGCAGGTTCCAGTTCATGATTTTTATCGGATAATAAAGGAAAGCGGTTAACCTAAGATCTTCATATATATATAAATATATGTCTTTGTTTGTTTTGTTAATGAAGTTTGAGCTTGTATTGACCTGAATTCAACATTGGGGTGACTTGGTTTGAGAGGACAATGCTTTACTCTAAATTATTTGTTGTGGGGGTCACATTGATTTAATCACTACAAGCCGCGGTTGGCTTGAAAATTTTAACCGTTTTTGTATTAAAAATTGCAAAATTTTTAACTCAATTATATTAAAATGTAAACTCTGTGGCCAGGCAGTTTTTAGAGCTTAGCAATTTGTTTTCGTAAAAACTGTTAGCAAAAAGGGTGGGTCTTGGCGCAACAGCAAGATTGCTCCATTGTGACTTGGATTGGAGGTCACGGGTTCGAGTATTGGAAACAGCCTCTCTGCTTGTAGGGTAAGGCTGCATATATCTAACCCTCACCAAACCCCACAATGGCGGGCGTCTCATGTACTGGGGACGCCTTTTTTTAAAAACTGTTCAAATTTTAACCAGAGTGCCAAATTGGAGCAGCTTTTTTTGGTGTTAAAATTTTTGCTTGAGTTTACTTGCTTAAAATATTCAATATTTGTTACTCAGGACAATTAAATTATTCTCACATTTAGACGTCTAGATGCATATCTATTAGAAAGAAAAATTATGTTCAAGTGTCATGGGGTTATGTTCCAGATATGGTCAATGTTCTACTTTAGATCTATTTTCTGGCGAAATCCAAGTTTAGAAGTATTCTTCTAATTCCATTACTAATTTCAGCATTTGTGTTTAAGATGATTCATATTTTGCAACTGCATAATATTCGACTATGTCTCTATAGCTTTCAAAATCGTGGTATCTACCCCAAAACTTGTTATATCTTCGAGAATATAAATATTGATAAGTGTACAGTTCGGTAGAAACGATGCTACATAATGTTACGGGACACCTTTGGGATAACCCATCTTTGTCGAATACTCCTTGTCCATCATCTACTTTATATGCAACTATATTCTTTGATACATTGACACTTGTTTTCCTTGCACATTGTGTAACATGTCAAATTTTGCGCAACCTTTATAATCCGCACTGGTCGCTAGCCAAAGAACACACTGATCAACAAACTGAATTTATCAATATTCTGAAGTGGTTGACAGAGGACTTGCTACTTATCATTCCTGTACTAGGTGTCGTAGAATTAAAACTGTTTGATACAAGCAATTGATTTTCTTATGTTGCTTTTCAGTTGAGTTGATATGTAGAATTAGCTTTTGTTGTGATTTGACTTTAATTGTTTACTGTTTGTCGTTACTTGTGTGCTACCTTTAATGCAGTTTGACTAGTATAGCATCTTTTAGCGGTTTGATGCTGGAGGCAGTATGCAGATGATAGTTGGGAGAAATGCAAAGGTATCATGCTGCCAGCTGCACTAGTGCAGTTAACAACAATTATATTGGTGGGCCATCAGTTAAGGATACATCCCGAACTGACTCCACTCCACTTGCAGCAAGCTTCTCTTTGAATCCCAGGTAGATGCGCCTTATGTTGTATTATTCCTGCAGGGAGAGTCTCTCTCTCGTGTGTATGAGCACGTGTGTGTGTGGCATGTTGCATGCTCATGCACATTGGTGTACACATTACTTTAAATATTCATTTTTGATATTGTTGGAGATTGAGGTTGACATATGATCTAGAACTTTGTTGAGTCTATTCCTTTATAGTGCTGCAAACTTCATATTTTCTGATTCGCATAACGTGGTAGTACGTTTGCGAGGCAACAATAAAATTGTTGATTATAATGACGAAACATATAGCGTGCGTCCATAAATGTTGACGTTGCAGTTTTATTACTTTCTCCTCCGTGGAAGTAAGGATTATTACATTTCTTTTTATGGGCATTATTACTTTTCTTTTTTATTCTGTAGTTTTCAAGTACAGCATGATTATTAGTTTTGCTTTCCTTACATGGTGCATAATAATGACTTACCCCCACAGTCACCGTACACAGGTTGCTTCTCTTTTGATGCTGCTAATGCTATTTTGGTTAATGCCATCTTCATAATTATTGGATGTGAATATATATAAACATACATACATTTATATTACCTGAAACAGGAATTTTATGTCATTACATGCCTATTCTACTAGTTCCAATATCTTATTTAAGTGAGATTGGGGATTCTACGAGTCTTGGTAGCTCTTCATTGCTGGCAATAGGGGTTTAGTGTAGATTTTCAACGCCATCATGAGAAACTAAGGCTTGATTTATTTAAGGCCTTGTTCAAGGTATAAACCAGTGGAGCTCAAGCCTTAGTTCTTACCCTGATTGCATATAGAGTTTAGCTTGATCAATTGTTATGATTAGGAGGGTTGGCTTGTCAAAGTGGCTATATCTTCTAAAGCCCGTCTATCCATTATCTATGTAGCAGATAATTAATTGTATACAATACATTGAGCTATACAGATTTAGTTTCTAGAGATCTTTTTGGGATTTAGTTCTATGAACTGATATGCTCTTGTCTGTAAATTTTTGTGTTTATAAAAAGAAGACTTCTCTGGGATGAATTGGTAACTTAATATTATGGTGCCTGCAGGCGGTCATCACAGCTGTCACCTTACAAACTGCGGTGTGACAAAGATCCTTTGAATTCCCGGTAGGTTGTACATTCAATTTGCTCGTTTGTTAGCATTTTGTTTGGTGAAACATTAGTCTTGCTTTTTGTGAAGAATGGATTAAACTAAAAGTTAAATGCAGACTATTTGTACTTTACATTCCTTATTTATGGTTTTTTTCTGTTTGGAGTCCCAAGGTTTAGAACTTGCTGACTTTCGCAACTTTATTTATAAATTTTCTAAGATTTGCATCTAACTCCTCCATCTTATCACCATTGTCATCTCACATTGATATTGGTCACTAATGTTTCCCCAGACTTGAGCCTCCTGACTTTCACATTCCTGCTCCAAATTGCCCTGAGGAGACTCTCACCAAGGAATATGTGATATCTGGATACAGGGAGACTGTTGAGGGGCTTGAGGTATGCTTTTGAACTATCCGTTTTTGTGTCCAATGACAACTTTGTGTTGGTTATATGCAGAATTTATCTTTCTATATGCTAAATTTATCCCGTCGAACAAAAATTCATGTGGTTAATATAAACTAACATTTCTTTGCGTGAGTCAACTGCCTAAATAATTAACTCTAGTGTGTTTTTTTTTTTTTTTAGTTCAATGGCCCCGTATCCAGGTCAGCTTATGCGTAACTTGACTAATCCCCATCCCGGTCCGGTAAAAGGCAGACCATCCACACCGGGATTAGGGAATTTGTGGGGGATAAATCTCTCATGACCTGGTCTCAAGGGGTTGTCAAGATTCGAACTCTGGACCTTTGAATTTACAACTCATATTTGTTACCAAGATTTGATGTTTCCTGATGCACAATAAACATTACGACCTAATAAGATGAAACGAATTTTTCTCTTGTATTATTTATGTTGTTAGAAAGATGGATTACATGATCAATTCTGTTAGGCAAGCAAGTGGTATCTGACATCACTTTGGATATAATATCGTGTTATGGCTATCATTGTACATTGTGCACAATCATGCATCAATTGTTGCAAGTGCTTGAACCTCAGTTAACATTGGTTTACAAGTAATTTTTTTTTAAAGCGGAGCTGGTTTTGTCTGTTAGAGCATCAAATCCAAAACCAATTTGGCAATGGATGAAGTAGCTTCTCAAGTATATAAATCATATTTGGTGGTCTTAATTATTCGGTGTGGTATACAAACTCTTTTAACACCCTCCATTACGTGAGACTCGGGCTCACACATGGGGTCAATAAACAAACAAACAACCAATCATACCGAAAAATTCAAATAGGTATTAGACTTAACCCATTGACCACCAAGGCCCAGATCGGATTCCATGTTAGAGTAGCCTACCCAAAATCAATTGGTAATGGATGGAGTGACCCATAAAGTATATAAATCCACCTTGGTGGTCCTAATTATTCGGTGTGTGATACATACTCTCTTAATACCCACTCTGACATGGGATCCGGGGTCGTACATGAGGTCAATAAATAAACAAACAAATAACCATGCAATGCCTAAAAATTCAAATGGGTAAGAGGATTGACCCCACTAACCACCCAAGGCTCAACTCTGATACTATGATATAGTATCCAACCAAAAACTAATCAACAATGGGTGGAGTGACCCCTTAAGAATATAAACCAACCTTGGTGATCCTAATTATTCAGTGTGAGATACAAACTCTCTTAACAGGTATGACTTCCGGGTGGCCAACATGACACTAAATTTTTCATGAGCCATGATCAGTTAGTGCTGATTCCTTTTTCTATTCATTCTCAAACTTTTCTAGACATTTGTTGAAGAAATAAATATTTAGTGTAAGAGCGCTTTTGCTGCTGCTTACCAATTTTAACATAAAGGACAGTGTGATATGCAGTTCATGTTGAACACTTCTAATGCTTGCATGTTATGAGTTAACTGTGCTAGAAGGACATCCAATTCCCATTTTTTCCTTCTCTTAATTGTAGATCCTCCATTTTTCTTTGTTTTACTTTATCGAAGATCATGTATGTGCATGTTGTTAACTTTGATCAATCAAAGAAAAGTAAGAGGAAGAAAGAAGAGAATATTATTGAGGCACAATTAACTAGAACAAAACTTAAAAGAAAACTACATATAAGAGGTTTTTATATAGTAAATTAAGTTAAGGCAACATAAAAAAAAACAAATGACTAAACTATCCCTAAGTCTATAAGAGGTTTTTATATAGTAAATTAAGTTAGGGCAACATAAAAGAAAACAAATGACTAAACTACCCTTAAGTCTAAATATAATAACTATTCTAACACTCTCCCTCAAACGCATGATGTGGTAACATCAAACATCAAGAGTTTGCTACGAAGAAAACAAAAGCGTGCGATGGTGTGAAATTTCGTAAAGAAACGATCAGCAAGTAACCAATACAATCAAACTATCTCTGCTGTTATGAAGGCTATAACATGATACTCAGTGTCAGCAGATGATTGAGCCACAACAGTTTGTTTCTTACTTTTCCACGAAATAAGACAATCACCAATAAAGAGATAAAAACCAGTAGTGGACTTGCGATTCATAGAGTCACCAGCCCAGTCCGCATAAGAGTAAGCACGAAATTCCAGAGACGATCAAATAGCAATGAGAGGTCCAACAGAAAATCAAAGCTCAACAAAAACCATCAACAACAATACTCAACAAAACAAATCCCAACAGAGAAAAAAAAACAAACAAAGCAGAACTAGTCCCAAACCAGCAATAGTCAAAATCAAAAATTAGAACCAAAAGAAGTAGCCAACGCCAAACAATTCAAAGTTCGCCACAAATCAACATAACAACTTTGCAAATCAAATACTCACCCAGCAGTTCGTTCACAAAATTAGCCCCAAAGGCTCAAACCTACCAATCAAAAGTGAAAATAAAAATTTCTTGCTTAATCAGTGCGAAGCAATGCAAATGGAAACAAAAGTTTCCTGCTGCGTATTCAATGCGAAACAATGCAAATGAAAACAAAAATTTTCTGTTTATTCAGTGTGAAACAATGCAACGCTATGTCAAATAACAAGCCTAAACGAACAAATCAAAAACCAGTAACGTGACAACTCACCAATGCACAAAATCAACCAATCAACAAATCAGTCCAAAAGCCCAAAGCAACAGTAGCAAACAAAAAAGAAACAACCAGACTAGCAACCAGAAGAATAAGAAGAAGAAGAAGCACCAGTAGAAGAGAAGAGGCAGCAGCAGAAGAGAAGAGGCAACAACAAGTCAACAAAAATAACAATCCAAATAGCAGATCCCAACGTACCAATTTTACAAACCAGAAACCAACAAAGAAGCGGACGCTCAATAGGCCTTAATACAAGCATCTCGAGCCAATAAATCAAACCAGCAATCCTGTAACTAGATAACCCAAATTCCATAACTTTTAAAAGTCCAGAAGACAAACAGAGGCAACAAAACAGTAGCAAAACACCAAAAGGCACTAAAAAAATCTAAATTTGGCACTGTTCACAGCATGAACAGTAACGTCAGTACTGTTCACAGCGCGTGACAAAGTACTTTCAGCACTGTTCATCCATGAACAGTGTTTTCGGCACTGTTCACAGCTCTTGGAATCACAAAAAAATAGCAATCCACCAATCACTAGCCCTCAAATCACACAAACCAAGAATATATTCTTCCTCCAACTAAATTATTTTGATGCTACAATATATATTTTGGATCGAAACCATGCTCCGATACTATGTTAACTTTGATCAATCGAAGAAAAGTAAAAGGAAGAAAGAAGAAAATATTTTTTAGGCACAATTAACCAGAACAAAACTTCAAGGAAAACTACATATAAGAGATTTTTATATAGTAAACTACTAGGGCAACATAAAAGAAAACAAATGACTAAACTACCCCTAAGTCTAAATATAATAACTATTCTAACACATGCATGCCAATTAAAATGCTGTTCTAGTATTCATTGCAGAAGCAATGATGGATGTTGAACTTTCATTTGAAAGTTATTGAAGCCGTGTCTTAGTTTGAAACCTTAGGACATACTAGCAATTCTATGAAGCTGATGTCCATGTAACTGTAGTTGTATATGCATGTTTCATTATCCCCCGGCCTCTCACCCCCTAAATAAGGAGCATTAGTGTTTGACATGTCATACACGGTCATGGTATATATGTCACAATGTATCTTTTATATCCTTCAATAGTGTTGTTATCTTATTTGAGTTCACTTGGTGATTTTATTAGGAAGCTAGGGAGATCTCACTATCACAGGTGCAAGCTTTTACGAAGCCTATTATCCTAAAGTGCAAAGAGGTAAATCTAGTGAATTTGTAGCCAGGATGGTTCTCTCTTGTTGTTAAGCTGCAAAAGGTTAACAACTATTTTTATGTGTAGTTGCTTTTGGTTGAAGATGTGGTCACCTATAGCTTATTTACTCTTCTTTGCAGGAAATCAAAAGATTTCACAGGGCAATCAATGAATCTCGTGCTCAAAAGCGCAAGGTGATGAAGCTTTCCTTCCTCAGTTAATGTAAATGTTTGTGAGGGACATTTATTCCTCAGTAGTGAATTGGACCTTTTTATACTCGAATGCTGAACCGACTACATTTAATTTTGTATTTGACATATCCATATGATTGTAAAGTTCTCAGATGTTATAATGGATTTGAATTTGGAGTTATGTTCTTGATGTTACAGGAAGGTCAGGTTTATGGAGTGCCTCTTTCTGGTACGCTATTGACTAAGCCTGGCATCTTCCCTGAACAAAGGCCATGCAGAGAAGACTTCTTGAAGAAATGGATTGAGGTGCGTCTTCTTCTTCCTACAAGAACTTCATACATTTGTTGTGTTGACGTGACAGCATCTTTAGTATTTCCTCCTATGCAGTCAAGTGCATTTCAGTTAGTTATAAAAATGGAAGAATGGATAATACCATCCTGGTGGTTTCTTAGTGTGCACGTCATGTGTCATATGCCACACTATGTATGGTTTTGATCTTAAGTCTATATGTATTTCTTCATTTGGATTTCCTCATCAATCCATAGATTTATTATGCTTGAGAAAAAGGAAAGAATCAGAATTGATCAAGAGATTTCTTGAACAAAAGAAAAGCATTTTCTTTTCTTGAAAAGAATCAATACTAATGGATACACACCTTCAAATTGTATATCTAATTGAGGATAAGGGAAGAGAAAATAGATTAAGGTAGTTTGGTCAAGAAGGCCAATAGATGCACCCGTTTGAAAAAATGAGAGAATTTCTCTTAATGGTATTAGAAGCAGAGGTAGACCTAAATTAACATTGAATGAAAAAATAAGAAAAAATATAAAAATATTTAACTTAAATGAGCGTATAACGCATGATAGAAGTGAATGGCAAAGATGGACTCATATAGCCGACCCTAAATGATTGGGACATAAGACTTGGTTTGGTTTGATTTAGTTACACACTCTCAAATTGTGGTTCAACTTTTTTCCCATCAGTTTTTGGGGAATGATTCATTATGACCCTCTTTGTCCTTCATAAATACCAAAGGCAGCATAGTGCACGAGGTTTCTGTCAATGTGGATTTAGGAAGGGTGAAATAGATGTCTTAGTGACTTGGCCTTACTCGAATGGGGTTGGGTTGTACCATTTGGACCATTCTTTTTTCATGCTTTTATGCCATTGACTTTTGGCAAAATGGAGAAGAATGTGACTTATTATGAGTCATAGAGACAAGGATCAAAATTTTGTTTCGGTGTATTGTTTCAGTCAACTCGGAAACAAAAATGTTTCAATGTGTTTTGGGAATATTTCGACCCGTTTCAGAAATAAAATGAAAAAATAAAAAGTTTAAGAATCATTTTTCCAAAACATTGGTTAAAAAATATTAAAGTATCTTGAAACATTACAAAACAATTGTGCAAATGTATTGAAACATTACAAAACACCTCAAAACATTATGAAATACTGCGAAGTATTAGAATTTCGATTCAATCATTGATTCGTTTTGGTCTCCTTAAAAACGAAAATGTTTTGGACTTTTCGAATCGAAATTTTGATCCTTGCATACATGTATTACAAACATTTGATCATTATCCTTATCTTTTTTAGATTCATTAGGATATCTAACTAGGAATGAACAAGAAAATGTGGGATTTCACTGAAACAACTGAAGCCCTTCTAAGAGTATGGAGCCAAATCGATTAGTGTGATACAATTCCTCAGTTGTGTTTGATGTGCAAAGGTGATGTTGAAAGTGTTGATCATTTGTTTCTTCATTGCCTTGTGGCTCAGAATTTGTGATATCATTTGTATAGTGAGGCGGGTTTGAGTAGGGTGATTCATGTCATATCTACTTTCAAGAGGTGAAACAATTTGAGAGATTTGATAAAGGTGTTACTCTTTGGAACTGTACTATCATCGCTATTTTTTGGTTATTTGGAAGGAATGAGCACAAGAATTTTTGAAGACCGAAATGAGTGTGTGAATGGATTATGGGATCGTACTCACTTCTTAGCATTTTTTTGGGCTTCGATTTCAAAAGAATTTTGATTTTTGCTATTTAAGCAGGATGACAAGCTTCGTGTGATTTATAGACTTCTTTTTATAATTTATTTACTTTTCTATTTTATCCCTATTTTGGTTGGATTTCTTATCCAATCTTTTTTGATGTACCTTATCATTTTTAATTCATACTAGAGTTTTGTTTCTAATTAAAAAAATAATTATGTGTCTAGACTAACTCAATTAGAAAGCTTTGGGCCAACATCATAATCATACATTTTCAATTTCTCCATTTTTGTTGTAGGTTTTTGTGAAAACTTGAAACAATAAAAAGTTTGGTAATAGTTTTCGTTTTATTTTTGTGAATTCATTTTGAAAAATGAGTGCATTTTTGAAAACAATAAAAATTGGTTTTTAAAAAGTCAACAAAATAGAAATGGACTTATTACTTAACTCCACCTTTTAACATTATCAGAACAGTACCATCCAATATCAACACCACCATGAAAGCCACCATCACCTTATCACTGTTGTTGCTGCCACCATCACCGCCCACCACAAGCTGCCACCACCATGGCTACCGCTTGCAGCCATCATCACCCAACCACAAGTTGCTCCCACTACCGCCACTGCCTGCAACCATCATCACCCCATCACAAGCTACCCCTACCACCATTGTTGTCAAAACCACTGTCGCCACACTTTCACCTCCACCACTCACCATCGTTGCTAATGTGACTACTACTGTCACCGTCACCACGGCTGTCGCCACTACCATAACTTCCATCATTGTTACCACTTACCACAGCCATATCATCACTGTTGCCGTCACACCCACTATCCCAACTGCCATCGTTGCCGCCGCTACTATAACTTCCATCGTTGCTACCACCACCCTATCATCACTGCCGCCATCACACCTACTATCCCAAGCACCACCATTACTGCGGCTGTAGCAACCATCACCTCTACCATTGCAATCACCACCATAGCACCACTGTAGTTGCCACCACTAACCCCACCTAACAAACAGCATTGATTATGCCGCCACCAACATTATTGTTTGTCACCATTTTGCTTATGTGATGTGACAAAATATATGTAAACCAATGTCTATATTTTTACAAGTATTGATTATGAGATGATGTGAACCAAAGTCTATATTTTTACAAGTATTGATTATGAGATGTTTCAAATTATGCTACTAATGCTATTATTTTTTGGATTTTTAGTAAAAATAGTTTTTTTCCTTCTTTCGGGAAGGTTCAATAAAAATAGTTATCAAACAGGCTTTTAGTTTTTGTTTTATTTTCTTCATAATAGAAAAAGATATTAAAAAAAAAACTTTTCTGTTTCTTCTTTTTAGAGAAAAAAAAAAGCTGAAACAGTTTCCATTTTCATTTTTTTAAAAACTGAAAACTGAAAACATTGTCAAATGCCCCCTTATGAAAGGGTTTATGTGGTCAGGGACTCAGGACTTCCCTGAATTGGTTTGCCATAATTGTTACCTGAATCTAGATTATTCATTTAAGCATATATTTCCCAGGCCTCTAGTGCGTTACTGAAATTTGGAAGTGCCAAGTTCTTTTGCTCTGTGTGCATGTTCTATATGATACACCATACGATTTATGGTGTTTGAAGTTTGATTCCAATTGTAATAGGAAAAAAATGATAGGGAGGTGAGTTTTGTAATGCTCTTGTAGCAAGTAAAAGCACCACAAGTACTAGTAGAAACAGCATAAACCTTGAAATTAGCAAGTAGAGGATGTAGTTAGTTTTCCAACAGAGAGGTAAATGGAGCCACCGACACTTTTGCCTGTTTTAACCTTAGCCCATGGAGTGTATATGTGCATCTGCATAATAAGTATGAGGGACCCCCCCCCCCCCCAAAAAAAAAAGGAAGAAAGGGAAAAAGAGGTAGTGAAAAGTGTGTTTGCGATGATACGAACACTTTTTTTGGTCCATCAAAGCCAAACTTGATGGTTTTAAATTTCTTTTTCTTTTCAGGGTTTATCACAGCACCATAAACAGCTGCGTTCATTGGCCGATCATGTACCTCATGGTTATAGGGGGAAATCACTTTTTGAAATCCTTATCAGAAATAATGTTCCGTTACTAAGAGCAACTTGGATTATCAAAGTCACTTATCTTAATCAGGTAAAGCTTCTTTGATCAGAGGTTCCGAGTTGGTTACTTTTTTAGCTGTGGCTGCTGTTTGTCTTGGAAGGTGACAGATTATCATTTTATCTTACAGGTTCGGCCTGGCTCTTCCAGTTTATCTTCTGGGGTGTCAGACAGAAGTCAGTTTTCTCGCTCACAGCAGTGGACAAAAGATGTTACTGATTACTTGCAGTACCTCCTGGATGAATTTGTCTCCAGAAATAATTCCCATTCTAATGTACACTTCAGGGATCGCACTCCACAATTGGTTTATGCTGGGTCAACACAGAACAATATTGATCCAGCAGCAGCAGTTGTTGATGGTGAGGAGCCCTCCCTACATTTTAAATGGTGGTATGTGGTGCGGATTTTACTGTGGCATCACGCAGAAGGGCTGCTTCTTCCTTCTCTCATCATTGACTGGGTTCTTAGTCAACTGCAGGTAAGGATATTATAAGCTATCATACTTTAAATACAATTTTTTGGAGATGAGTGATAGGTAAACTAGCAGCAATTTTATCTGAGGTATTCACTCCTTTGGAGCCTAATATCCTATTTGTGCATTTTCAGGAAAAAGAATTGCTTGCGATTATCCAGTTGCTATTGCCAATCATATATGGTGTCATAGAAACTGTTGTCTTATCTCAGACCTATGTACGCACTCTGGCAAGAGTAGCTGTTCGATTCATCCAAGAACCTTCTCCTGGTGGTTCTGATCTTGTGGACAATTCCCGGAGGGCATACACTACCTCTGCTCTGGTTGAGATGCTGCGATATTTGATACTGGCTGTGCCTAATACTTTTGTTGCTTTGGACTGCTTTCCTTTGCCGTCTTGTGTGGTATTTCACATGGTAAATGATGGGAATATCTTATCAAAGGTAGCTGAGGATGCTGTGAAGATGAAAAATGGTCCAGTAGAAGTAAGTTGTGTGTCTCGAGATGAAGGGCTTGATGTCCAGCGTGAATCATTGTTGATTGATCATGCTGTTTCATCAATCCAGAAACGTGCAGATAACCTTGCAAGGGCTGTCAGACCTGGCCAACCAGGTCACAATTTGGCAAAAGCTGTACAGACATTGGATAAGGCTCTTGTACAGGGAGATGTGAAAATGGCTTTTAAATTCCTCTTTGAAGATCTTTGTGATGGGGCTGTCCATGAAAGTTGGACAGCAGAAATCAGCTCACATTTGCGTTCATCACTCAAGTGGATAGGGACTGTGAACTTATCATTTATTTGCTCTATATTTTTCATCTGTGAGTGGGCAACATGTGATTTCAGGGATTTCAGGACAGTCCCGCCTCATGGCCTGAAATTCACTGGCAGAAAAGACTTTTCTCAAGTATACATTGCCATAAGGCTTTTGAAGCTGAAGGTGAAAGACATGCAAAGTTCAATCCGATTCAAGAATGGCAGCACCCCTCTAGTCAATAGCCTTGCAAATGGTCCTGGTCAGCTGAATAACTATTCTGGAAGGACTTCTGCTGGAGTGGTGTACAACCTTAGAAATTGTTCAAAGAGTGTGAATGGGAAAAATAAAGATTGGGCAGATCTTTTTCAAAGCCCAGGCCTTTTACATGATATCATTGTGTGTTGGATAGATCAACATGATGTGCAAAATGGAGAAGGTTTCAAGCGCCTTCAACTACTCATAATAGAGCTCACACGATCTGGCATTTTTTATCCTCAGGCATACGTGAGGCAGCTGATTGTTAGTGGATTTTTGGATTGTAATGGACCTCTGGGGGACTTAGACAAAAGGAAGAGACATTACAATATCTTGAAGCAGCTGCCTGCTCCCTATATTCGTGATGCTCTTGAAGAAGCACAGATCAGTAATGCACCAATACTCAAGGAGGCCATGTATGTTTACTCAAATGAACGACGCCTCGTGCTTCGCCAGCTTATTGATCATGATAAATCCCCTAAAAGTGCAAATACCTTGTCTCGGAAACAAAAACATTATCTAACCTCTGGGGGGGATGGTGCTTCACCCCCCTCTGTTGATCAGTTGAAAGCTTTTCAGCCAGGGTCCTGTTCATTGTCCCGTAAGCCCGTCAAAAGAGTTGCTGACCTTGAAGAACTCAAAGCTTCTATTTCAACGTTGTTGCAGCTACCAGAATTGTCTTCTATGTCCACAGATACAGGACTTGATGACCCACAGAGGAGTATTAAGAGGTTCTTTGGGTCAACTAGCAACAGGGCGGACATGGGAGAAGGAACAGCTGGATGTGAAGAATGTAGAAAGGTGAAGAGACAAAAATTGGGTGACGATATGAGCTCATACCTACAGGTACATTCATCAAATCCCCCAGACAACAATGAAATCTGGTGGGTGAGGAAGGGGCCTAAATCCTTGGAGTCTTCTAAAGTGGATCCACCTCTGAAGCCTTCCAAACAGGCCACAAGGGGTAGGCAAAAGGTTGTGCGTAAAACTCAAAGTCTTGCTCAATTAGCGGCTGCTAGGATAGAAAGTAGCCAGGGAGCATCAACAAGCCACATTTGTGATAGTAGGATAAGCTGCCCGCACCACAGAACTGGTATTGAAGGAGATGCTCCTAAATCGATGGATGCAATCCGAACAGCCCGTTCTGGAGATATTGTTTCAATTGGAAAAGTTCTGAAGCAGTTGAGGTTTGGAGAGAAGAGGACCATCATGGTATGGTTGATAGCTGTTGTGAGGCAGCTTGTTGAAGAGACTGAAAAGACTGCTGCCAAGGTGGGCCAGTACAGTAGGCCATTCCCTCCTACCAATGACCAGAGCACTGTAGGATGGAAGCTTGGTGAAGACGAGTTGTCAGCCATACTGTATTTGATGGATGTTTCTAATGATTTAGTTTCAGCTGTGAGATTTCTCCTTTGGTTGTTGCCAAAGGTTCTTAATAGCCCCAATTCTACAATCCATGGTGGGAGGAACATTCCAATGTTGCCCAGGAATATGGAAAACCATGCATGTGAACTAGGGGAAGCATTCCTTTTGTCATCCATCCGAAGGTGCACTCTCGATTTTTATCTACGTTAATATTTTGTGGTGTCATTTTTAGCCATTGAATTTTTTGTACTTATTTTGAAGACTCCGCTTCACTATTATGTGCCTGCTAGTCATTGGCTTTATTCTTCTTGTTGGGACATGGGAATTTGATCCATTGGGGATAGAATTTACTTAATAACATTACATTGGATTGTGGTTTTGGGCCTTATGGCTTACTTTTTTTTTTTTGGGTTTTCCTTATTCTTTGGTCTCACTGGTGTTATTTGTCCTCAACTCAATTGTTGTTTTGATAACTAGACTGGTCATTCATTTGTTTTGATGGCTGGGTCAGAGGCCTACTCATTCAACAAGGGCTCAGACTGTTTCAGTTTGGGCCAAGTGTAACTATAAAATACTGAAGTATTCCTTGACATCTCTAGAGAATGGCAATTGGCAAGCCAATTTTTTGGGTTCTGTTGCCATACTGATTTCCATTTGTCATGCCGCTTATTTTTACATGCCCTACATATTTTTTAGTCAATAATTTCATACACTTTGAGATGTACAATTATCAACCATAATTCCTTGCCAATTTTCTTACCCACACTATCTTTTATGGTCTATAACTTCCAATATTTGAAGGAAGCAGTGGGGCTGTGGTCAATACCTAGAATAGTACTCGACAGTTTGAGTTCAATTCCTGCACACTTACATGCTCAAAGTACTTTCTTTGCACTACCGTGCTACAAGCCCAGACCAATGATGTGATGGGTGGGCTGGTTCAACAGTTTAACTGGTCGGTCCTTTTTCAGTACTGTGAACAAAGTTCAGTGCTTCAATTCCTTATGTCTTGCCTTTTGGTCTTGATTACTTTCTTTTTTCTGGGCAGAAGTCTGGATTACTTTCTGAGTTCTCTACCAAAGTCATTTGAATTGCTTGTGGGTTACTTTTTTTTTTTTTTTTGTTTCCTCAATAATCTGATGGGTGTTGCATTCCACCATGGCTCCTCTGCCCTCTGGAGATTGCAGTATTTGAATAATTATTGGACCTTGTTGAAAAATTAGTTTTAGTGAACTGAAGCCCATTCTCTGAATTACCTCAATACACTTAATTTTTTTAGTGATATTTGACCTTCAGAATTAATTTCTGAAAAAGAAAGAAATATAAAGGTTAAGCTGGCAGCCTTAATTTTGAAAACTAAGAATGAGGGCAACTTGAGTTTAAAACCGTTCAGCCACTTGTGTAAATTTTCCTTAGTTGGACACAAAACAACTTTGTTGTTTTTCTTCATCATTTTGTATCTCTAGTGCCCAGGGCCTTCCATCATTTTCCTGCTTAAAAATCCACTTTTGTTGCATTCATACATTTCTCTTTATTCTAGTCAAATACCGCACTTTTCACTGGAGAGTGAATATGTTTGTTATACAATATACAATACACAATATGAGTGATCTTTGTATTTTGTGCTGCTTAAATTGTGAAACCTTTAGGGTTTAGATACGGAGAGAAGAAGAATAAGAGAAAAGAGAGAGACCATGAGAAGAGAGTAGTATGTTAAGGTTACACAATTACACCCAAATTATATATATAAAAGAGCTCTACCGATTGGGTTATTGCGATTACGGGTTGGATGTCTAATTGTTCAGGTTGTAATGATTGTACCTTGTACCTAAACCGGTGGCTCACTTTTTCTGAGTAATGGGAAAGAGGGAAAGAAGGGAAGAGGACCAAAACATGCTAGTGCGATTGAAAGATTTTACTGAGACAAAGATGGATTGTTGAGAACGTAGAGGAGGTAGAATGGTAAGTTGTTCAGATCTAATATGGATCATACATGGACGGTAGTTGGAGTCGGCGTCTCTTCTAGGTTTCCCTCATCTAGGATCCCGAGGGAAAGGGTCTAATTGTCCCAATCTGAAAGAGTTGACTAATAGTTAGTATCATTGTGTTGCAGAGGATAAAATACTATAATCAGTGCATAGAGAATGAAATTTCATTTACTAATACGACATCCAAGTATGAAGTTAATATTGGTCAAAGTAAGAAAGCTCTATTTGGTTAAACTAGTTTGCCGACCTAAGAGGTAAATGATACTAAGGATCATCGTGTTTTAGAGGTTGAAACACAATAATTAGTGCTTGGAGAATGAAATTTCGCATGGAAAATATGTATCACATTTGCAAATGCAATATCTAGGTACAAAGTACTAAAACATCCCTAAGCTAAAAATAGATCGTAACGTAACGCCCCCCTCAAGTTGATGCATAAATATTTCCAGCCTAACTTTCAATCATTGGGGTGAAAAACTTTGCTTTAATTGTGAAGACATCAATTCATCTGATCTCTAATTTCATAAAGGACATACAAATCAAACCTTGGTTCAACTCCTTTTTAATGAAGTGTTGTTCAATTTCAATATGTTTAGTTCTATCATGTTGAACTAGATTATGGACAATGTTGATAGCAGTCTTATTGTCACAATGTAGTCTCATATGTCTATTATCATGAATCCCTAACTATCCCAGCAAGATTTGGAGCCGCATAAACTCAAAGATTCTATGAGTCATTGCTTTGTATTCAACCTTGCCCTAAACCAGGCCACCACTGCTTATTTTTTGATTCGCCATATGACAAGATTTCCTCCTATCAAGGTGCAATAGCAGTAGCCTGAAGTAGATCGCATGTCATCCACTTAACTTGCTTAGTTTGCATCACTAAATGCTTTTAGTTTTAAGTGACCATTATTGGAGAATAAGATCCTTTTTTCTGGAGCTACAATAGACAACTTCAAGAAGGGAGTTCGAGGATCATGCATGAATGACTTACAACCCCCACTGCATAAGCGATATCTTATCGTGTATGAGAGATATATATCAATCTCCCCATAGATCTTTGGTCCCTTTCCTTATCTATTTTATCGCACACCACCACTCAGTTGATGATTGACTTCAACAAGAGAATCTGTAGGTTTACATCCCAAAATGCATATTTCTTCAAGAAGGTCAAGAACATATTTTCTTTGGGATATAAAAATTCCTTTTTCTGATTTGACAATCTCAATCTCAAGAATGCATCTCAATATACCTAGATCTTTGATTTCAAACTGCTTAGCGAACTGAGCTTTCAATTTGCTGACTTTATGTCCATCATTTCTAGTTATCACTTTGTTATCCATATATGCAGTGAGGGTTGTAATCTTGTTATCACCATGGCTGATGAGCATAGTATAATCAACATCGCACTATTTATATCTAAATTTTAACATAGTTTTGAGATATCTACCAAACCAAGTTCTGGGAGACTACTTCAACCTATAAATAGACTTCTCAACTTACACACCTTCCTTTCAATTAACTAGGAAGTAAAACCTGGTGGAATCTCCATGAAGAAAAGCATTTTTCACGTTCACAAGAGAGAAGAACACCTATAGAGTTTATCTTTGCCACCGGAGAAAAAATATTTTAATAATCAATGTCATATATTTGAGTTAATCCCTTTGCAACCAACCTAACTTTATATCTTTCGACTATCCCATTAGCTTCTTGTTTGATATTGAACACCCATTTGCACCCCTAACTCCACCAGAAAGAAAAATCAATTCCCATGTGTCATTATTTTTCAAGACTTTCTTTTCCTTTATCATAATTTCTCTCCATTTTGGATCAACAAGAGCTTCTTTCCTACCTTAAGGAATTGATATAGAGGACAAGGAAGAAACAAAAACATGATATATGGAGACAATAAATCATAAAAGACAAAGTTAGAAATAAGATGTTGAGTACAAGATCGAACATCTTTTCTAACTGCAGTAAGAAGCTCGGAGTCATCAAAAAGTGGATTATTATTAAATGGGTTAATTCCTTGAGGTTCATTACCTTATGAAACAATGGAAGATGAAATTGGAGTTGAGAAATTCAACTGATTTGGCAGCACATGAGTAGTCTATATTTCTTGATGCCAAGAATAAATTTTCAGATTATCCTTCTCAAAGTGAGCACAAGGTAGACAACTAATGTCATTTTTGTCCTTAATAAGTTGCTACTCTCCCTTACTAACATCCCACTAAACAGGCTCCTAGCGGAGGCTCGTAGCATATCACCTTTTCCTCAATAGTGATATTCTCTCCGTAAAGAGATGGTTGGGAAGTTGAGAAAAAAAGGCTTAGATTCACGAAAAGTAGCATCCATAGTAACATACATCTTCTGAGACTATGGATGATAACATTTATAGTTGTTTTTTTAGTGGCAAAATAATCAACAAAAACTCATCGTAGAGCCTTGGGCAAGTTTCTCTAGAAGGATTTATAATCACTTAAACTAAAAGACACTCAAAGGGAGACGATTAGTAAGATAAACGAGAGTAAGATCTTTGTTCATGAGTACTCACACAAAGGGTTTGACGAAGAATGTCACTCTTATTGAAGTAGGAACGAAATTCCCAATCAATGTACTCAATATCACAAACAAAAAATTCCATATTGCATTGTTTCACTAGACTAGGAAAAAGTTTTTCGATGACACCAAACGAGGGATGTCCCAAACATCTATTCCACTGATGTAAGAGCTGAAGGCAACTGGTGCCTAAGAAAGAAGTTGTAGCATCCAAGAAATACAGACCAACATGTATTTTACCATTGTCAATCATTCTTACTGACTGCAGTTCTTGAAAGATACAATGAGGAAGGAAAAAAGTTATTGAACAATTTAAGGATTTGTAATACTATTAACAAACAATAAAGTAGTGGAGAAATTTGGGACATGAAGAACAGAGGAGAAGGTTAGGGTGGGCGAGGAGTAATGATCCTTTCCTAGAAATAGAGGATAAGGATCCATCAGTTATTCTGACTTTATCTTTACGGGAACATGTACAATATGAAGAGAAAAGACTTGGAGAACTTGTCATATATTATCAAAGAAGTATATGAGGATGAAACATTAAACACCCTAGCACGCCTAAGATTCTGTAGCTAATCTTAAAAAAATATTAAAGGATGTAGTCTGAGATGAAGTCTCTGAAGATTCAGTCATATGTGCATGGAATTGCACATTACCCCTCGGCCACCACCTTGGACATATGCAAGATGTCCAGTTAGCTTCCAACAAAACTGCTTAGTATTTCTAATCTTCCCACAATAATCACACTTTAATTTATCCTTGGCAGCAGTGTCACTCGTCACGCTAAGGGGTAACAACTAACACAATATTCCAAACTAGGACCCTAAAGTATAGCTATTCTCCAGTTGAACATGGACATAGGTCTCTTCTAATGTAAGAAATGGACTACGACTCAAAATATGAACCTGACTCTAATCATACTCAATGTTATCGGCCAACAAGAAAGTCATACACACATTCCTTCTCCACTATCTGCAAAAATTATGCGGCACCATTAACACAATCGGCTTGGAAACTCTAGTAGTAGTCAAGCTCCTTTCACAAGGTAGTTGACTCTACGTAGTCTCTACATAGTAGACTACAAGGATCTTATCCTTTTAATTAGTCTCCCGAACTTTTTTTCGCAAGTCATAAGCCTTAGCATCGTTGCTTCTTTGAGAATTTATGGGGGTCGCAATCGTTCAAATTTTATGAGTTGTATCAAGTAATAGAAAACTACGACTAATAAAATATTGCATTGAATTAAGCAATTAAGATATAACTAAGGTATTCTCAGATGTCCAATATTTCATGGAGAACTAGACTCACAAGACTTCTTAGTCTCTCTAGTCAAATACCTATCCAAAGAGATAACTTTGATTGATAGACAAGCTTGTGACCACGTCAGATAATTGCTTTCATTGAACTGCGTTGGACTAATTTGGAGAGAAGGGTTGTTTGCTAAAGCACCTAAACGGCTCAACCCACTTTATCCGGTACTTCCTCCAGTATTTGTAGAAATCATACTAGCTTCTGTGACGTTCTCACAAGTGGATCAACACAAAATAGCAAACAGTCACAGTAAAACACCAACCAAAAATTTGACCACAACAAGAAACACCTCCAACAATAACTAGCAACGAAACAGTTGGTAAACAGTCCTTGTATAGCAACCAGAGACTAACTGAGCTGCCGGAGAGGCAAAAAACTTCCTACCAAAGGTCACTTTGGCCAAAAAACCCTTCCAAATCCAATCAAGATGTAACAAAACTCTGGTCATTACAAATTAACCTTAGTCGCAACCTATCTAGTAGGATCGACCAAAAACAACACTCAGATTGCTCAAAAATCGCTGATCACAACTTTGGACAGTAAAAAATCGAAAAACATTCAAAAATTTGAAAAGTCAATCAAATGACTTCAAAAAGTTCTAGAAAAATAACCATAATGCTCAGAGGAGAGATTCGAATCTTGTCATCACTTTTTCGAAAATTTCTAACATACTTGGTGGCAGGGGCGGAGCTAGCATTTCACATTAGAGGGGGCAAACTATGATCGAAAATTTTTTTAGCTCATTCATTGATTTACATAAAGCACCATTAAATTTTTAACTTAAACAAATATAAATAAAAAATCATAAAATAACCTATATTTAGTACATTTCAACTCTCACATATTAAAATAGAAAACGATATTATTTCAAATCTTAAAATTTGTACATAATGAATTGATGATAAACTAAATTTTTAGCAATTTTCTTCAATGTATAAAACCACCTTATCCGTGATAAAATTATTATTCATTTTATGTTGAGAAATCTAGTTGAAATCATCATTTACTTTGTTGGTGTACTCAATCCATAAACTAAAACATTGATTTTTTTTTGGAGGGGGGGTAATGAGTCACTAACTTATCAAAAATTGAAAAAAAAAACTAGGACTATTGGAAACATTTCCAAAAATTAAGGGGGGCAAATGTATTAAAATAACCAAAACTATCATCCTTAACAATAGGATTCAAAAAGTCAGGGGTGGGCATGCCCACCCTCATTCCTATGTGGCTCCGCCCTTGCTTGGTGGTGACGTGAGGATGTCAGACACTGAGAGCATGTGTTCCGACAACTTTGAGACGTTAGATTGTGATCGTAGCTCTAATACCAAGTTGAATTGTGAAGCCGTTGGAGTTTAGGTACGAAGAGAACAAGAATAAGAGAAAAAAGGGAAAGATTGTGAGAAGAGAGTAGTTTGTTAGGGATATAGCTACACCCAACTTATATATATAAACTCAAAGTACTAAAATACCCCTAAACTAAAAATAGAGCGTAACATAACAGTGCTAAACATTGAGATTTTGTTTTATAGTGTATACAATTCGAGTAATCGTTGTGTTTTTCCGCGAGATATCACAATTCATTCTCATTTTCATTAATGTATAATCTTGTTCCTATGGCTTGTATTGCTGTAGATTATTTTGATAGTATAGATAAAAGCAAATGTGGTTTTACCTATTCTTATTCCTCTACGGTCTTGGTGCAGGTATGAAAATATACTTGTTGCATCCGATCTTATTCCCGAGGCCTTGTCAGCCGCAATGCATCGTGTTGCAGCAGTTATAGCCTCTAAGGGAAGGGTGTCAGGTTCAGCAGCTTTAGTTTATACCCGACACTTGTTGAAGAAATATGGCAATGTGGCTAGTGTTGCTGAATGGGAAAAGAACTTCAAGGCAACATGTGATAAAAGACTTGTATCAGAACTTGAATCTGTGAGGGCATTGGGCAGAGAGTTTGGGTATCCACTTGGAGTGCCAGCAGGAGTCGAAGACCTTGATGATTTTTTCCGTCAAAAAATAACTGGTGCTCGAGTATCTAGAGCTGCTTTAAGCATGAGGGATATTGTGCAAAGACATGTTGATGAAGCTTTTCATTGTTTTTATGGCAAAGAGAGGAAGGTTTTTGTGGCTGGTGCAATAAAAGGTCCTGCCTTGGAAAAATGGGATGATGGATATCAGGTAGCTCAGCAAATAGTCATGGGACTAATGGACTGCATTAGACAGACTGGTGGAGCCGCCCAAGAAGGAGATCCTACTTTGGTGTCCTCTGCTGTTTCTGCAATTGTTAGTAATGTTGGACAGGTTATAGCAAAAATGCCTGATTTAACAACTAGTGGTAATCATCTGAATATTCCATCCACCACCAATTCATTGAATTTTGCTCGGCGCATTTTACGGATTCATTTAACTTGCCTATGTCTGCTTAAGGAAGCATTTGGAGAGCGTCAAAGCCGTGTCTTTGAGATAGCTCTTGCTACTGAATCTTCTTCTGCACTTGTGCAAGTTTTTGCTCCTGGAAAGGCTCCTCGGAGTCAGTTTCAACTGTCTCCTGAGGCCCATGATTCCAAGGCAAATGTATCGAATGACATTTTAAAAAATTCTACAAAATCAGTGCTTGGAAGAGCTTCAAAAGCTACGGCTGCTATTTCGGCGCTTGTTGTTGGGGCAGTTCTTCATGGAGTAGCTAGCCTTAAGAGAGTGGTAGCTGTTTTCCGATTAAAGGAAGGGTTGGATGTCATTCAGTTTGTAAGAAGTATGAGATCTAATTCAAATGGGAATGCGCGTTCCATTGGGGCTTTTAAGGCAGATAACTTGGTTGAAGTTTCTGTGCACTGGTTTAGGGTGCTTGTTGGGAATTGCAGAACTGTCTCTGACGGTTTCATTGTGGATCTTCTGGGTGAAGCTGCTATAATTGCTCTCTCAAGAATGCAACGAACGCTTCCTCTCAACTTGGTTTTTCCTCCTGCCTATTCTATACTTGCATTTGTCATATGGAAGCCTTTCATTCTTAATTGGAGTATCGTAATCCGGGATGACATCCTCCAGTTGTATAAATCCCTAGCATTGGCTATAGGTGATGCCATAAAACACCTGCCTTTTCGTGATGTGTGTCTTAGAGACACCAATGGCCTTTACGATCTTGTAGCTGCTGATGCCAGTGACTCTGAGTTTGCGGCCGTTCTAGAATCTCATGTTTCAGACATGCACATGAAAGCCATGGCCTTTGTGCCTCTCCGTGCAAGACTCTTTCTGAATGCCATTATTGATTGTAAAATGCCACAGCCAATTTTTAGGCAGGATGATGGGAATCGAATGTCTGGGCATGGTGAATCAAAGGTCCAATATGTAGAAAATGAGAGAAAGCTCGTGGATAAGCTTGTACATGTGTTGGATACACTGCAACTTGCCAAATTTCATTGGCAATGGGTTGAGCTCAGGCTTCTCCTGAATGAGCAAGCCCTCATAGAAAAATTGGAGGTTCATGACACCTCGTTAGTCGAGGCTGTATGCTCTCTCTCTCCAAACCCCGAAAAACCTGCTGCTGCTGCTGAGAATGAGAACAACTTCATTGAAATTATCCTCACAAGGTTACTGGTCAGGCCTGATGCTGCTCCTCTTTTTTCAGAAGTTGTACATCTTTTAGGGAGATCACTTGAGGATTCAATGCTGTTGCAAGCTAAATGGTTCCTAGGAGGACATGATGTACTTTTTGGACGGAAATCTATTAGGCAACGGCTTATTAACATTGCTGATAGTAATGGTCTGTCAACTAAGGCTCAATTTTGGAAACCATGGGGCTGGTGTTCTGATCCCGTGGCAACGGAGAGAGAGAAACAGAAGTTTGTAATCCTCTCTCTTGAAGAAGGAGAGGTAGTTGAAGAAGGAACAGACTTAAAACGTCAGGAAAGAGGACCTGTCCAAGTGTCAAACATTGATTTGTTCATTGTCGGCCAGCAGCATGTAACGGAGAGAGCTTTTGTTGAATTGGTTCTCCCTTGCATTGATCAAAGCTCCATTGACTCACGCAGTACGTTTGCAAGTGATATGATTAAGCAAATGCATATTGTAGAGCAACAAATAAATGCAGTTACCCGAGTAGCAAATAAGCACACAGGACCAGTTTTTTCTGGAATTGAAGGGCCTACAAAAAAAGGCAATAATCGCAAGAGTCTTAGAGGTGGCAGTCCTGGATTAGCCAGGCGACCAACAGCACCAGTTGATAATGTGCCTCCTTCCCCTGCAGCATTGCGAGCTTCCATGTCATTGCGATTGCAGTTCCTCCTGAGATTGCTTCCTATTATTTGTGCGGATAGGTAGGAACACATGTTTATTATGTTCAGTTGCTCTTCTATGTTCTGCACGCTGTACCTGTTGCCTGCAAACATGTTTGTTGTCACTATGAGTCCTTTCCACCATAATTTGTTTGCTGTGTCCTCGCACTTTACTAATTTGGTATTTGTCATTTTTTAGTTCGTGAATGATGCTTATGGCAGTTATTGGTATGAGGGGAAAGTTGAATAATTCGATGGTACTCTCCATCATGTTAGGAGATAGTTTGTAAATTTGATTGTATAGTCATTGCTACTTGATGCTTATATAGTGCCTATTTCATATATTGGACTTGCCAGGGAACCTGCTGGCCGTAACATGAGGCATATATTTGCCTCAGTGGTACTTCGTCTCCTTGGAAGTAGAGTAGTGCATGAAGATGCAGACCAGTCTCATTTGACAGTGAGTTCTTCCTCAACAAAGGTGCTGGGATCGCTGATGGAGGCTGCTTCTGCTGCCGATTTAGATTTTTCTGGTGAAAGTCTATTTGATCGTTTATTGTTGGTACTGCATGGGCTGTTGGGCATCTGCCCGCCGAGTTGGCTGAAGTTCCAACCCAGTTCCAAGTCAACCACTGAATGCAGCAAAGACTTTGCTGGTTTTGATCACGAGGTGGCCGAGAATTTACAGGTTTGGTCATTTCATCGCTTAGGTTTACTGCTTTGGTTTTTGATGAATGAACCTGCAAAAGTTGTTGCATCTTTCTGTTAGCAGGTGGTCTTAATTTGATTTTTTATTAAGGGGGTTTGTTTTGAGGTTTATTCTGACTTCATTTTTTCTTCAAAAATTCTCAACGCTAATGAAATGAATGATTTTAGCAGTAATTTACAATAGCGTGATTAAAGTAAAGGGAATGCTTTTTGAGAATCGAATAGCTTCAATCAATATGAGTTTGACGGAGATCATCTTCAATGTTAGAATGCTATTTGAAATTAAAATGGATTATGTTGACATCCAAGTTACATGATGATGTCCTGGAGGGCTTGATAGGAGATCCAAAGGCCCTTGATCTAAGGTCAGTTGGTCATTAGTGCACTTTAGGGTGTGCCTATCTAGCATCCACTGTACTAGAAGTGTAAATCATGATTTTTTGGGCGGTTCCCTTGGGGTTGAATCTTAGGTTCATGTTTGACATGCATTTCCTAGTTAATTAAGTGGGTAGTAACTAGTTTCAATGGAGGCTACACATTATTCTGAAAGAAGCTTTTGTATATACAAGGTTATTTTTTATTTGTTTTTCTTCTTTTCTCATTTTGTAGTCTTAAGTTTAATATTTTACATGTTATCAATCATGTCGTGAAAAATAACTAAATGCAGTATGTGATACATGTTGTTAATGGGTGTAGAATGACTTGGATCACATGTTATTGCCTGACATGGTTCGGTGGCATATCCAAACTGCAATGCCAATTCTTCTCCCATCCGTCCGCTGGTCAGTCTCTTGTCAGCTTCCATTTGTCTCAGTGGCAGCCCTTGGTTCTCTACAACCCAACGTCTCAGTGTCTGGGCTCCATACTGGAACTTCAAATATTCCCCCGAGGAGTCCAGTTTCTTTAGTTCGAACTGCCACTAACATGGCAGGGAAGACCAAACCAATGCTGTTGCAGCAGGAACTTGATATGGAAATTGACCCGTGGACCCTCTTGGAGGATGGAGCAGGGTCAGGCCCATCTTCAAGTGACACTGGTGTCATTGGCGGGGGTAACCATACTAATCTGAGGGCATCCAGCTGGCTTAAGGGGGCCGTAAGGGTCAGGCGGACAGACCTCACATACATTGGTGCTGTGGATGACGATAGCTGATTTTAATTTACTTACATTCTTGAATTTGTTTGGAATGAGCAATCCCCTCAGCAGATAATGTATCAGTTTTCCCGAGTGTCACTGGGTGTAAATTAGCATATGGGTGGCATTCCCTTCTTGTCTTTGGTGACAAAGTTTGCTGCTGGGAGGCACATTGTTTTAGGGGGGGTCGGGGTGGCGAAAAGAACGTAAAGTTGATTTTGTCCTGCTGCTCGTTCGACCAGGTCTCAAACTCTGCTTGACTACTAACCTTTTTTTGATAAATTGCCCCTTCTGGACTGGCCACTTTATTGGCACAGTTCAGAGATTTTTTGTATATATAATGGTATTGCTTTTGTTGAGCTGAGCAAAGTATATCAAGAATGATCTGTAGTTGTTTCATTCTCGTCAATATTTTGTTACAAATTATCAGTTGGGCTGAGTAAAATATCTCAAGAATGATCTGTAGTTCTTTTGATTCTGTTCAAGTTTTGGTGCCTCGCGTGCAGTTTTCCAATACCAGCATCTTGGACCTATTTTCTCTCCTCTGCATGTATCGGTTAATGTGGCCATCTGCATATATTCTAGCTCAGTTGCTATATATGATTTTAATATTTTTTATTTCCCTTAACCTTCATAAATACACACTGGTGGCTATACTAGAAATATGTCACCTTGCGTGTTGAGATTGTCTCATAAGTATCAGGTATGATAAAACCACTGTTCTATTCCAGTGGCAAAGTGCCATATATGATGGCCTAGACAACCAGGGTCCGAATTCCCCCTCCCACATCGATGTGCATACAAAAAAGACTATCAGGTATGAGAAGGAAATCTATCTTCTTGCTGTATTTTGTGTTTATACTACAGTGATGATGTTTTCTGTATGTTCAGTAAATTCTGGGGATTTGGAATATGTGTTAACACAGTTAAAAAAGTGTATTGATGCCGAGGACATGTATAGGTAGTGTCCAGAGTCTTTGAATGCCTTAATTGATGGATAACCAGAGATTATTCGTGGGATTGCATTGTGTTTTTGAACTTTTCTATTTTCTGCTGTGGAGAGATTTTCCCTGAACAGTTTTCATTGTGAATGGAGAAATGTTGATAATCAAAGCTTGATCTGGTTATAGTTTTAGTACCTGGGGTCTACAAAGGTGAAGAGAATTCCTCAAATTCTCGGAGGAAATTTTCCAGGTACTGTCCTGTTCTTTGCATAGGTAGGTACCTGTCTATATGATGACTAAAAACAGGCCTGCGTCATATTGTGTTCTTGTCATTGCCTAAACTGTACTGTCTCAAAAATTGTTCATTCCATACCCGATTTATTTATAGTTGGGTATATTTGGAATGGTGTAAGTGTATAAGTCATGTTTAGTTTATTCAACTTTATATCGACTTGTTAATCAAACAAGACGATACACCCACATCCGGTAACTTATTGTTGGGCTGACTGATTGTGTTGAGAATTGTTTGTCCCAATCTACTTGTATCACTTTTCAATGGAGGGTTCATACCTTGGAGCAATATCAACTCAACTCTCTATTTTAGCTACTCAATATATTTAAATAATACACTCTATTTTAGAAAGTCACTCTTACAAATTCATTCAAATCACGTTCTTTATTTTAGTTAGTTATTTCAACTAACTTTCAATAATTTAAATTGAAAATACACGTCATTGTCATATTTTTAACGGTCATATTTAACCCAAAATTTATATTAGAGCCATAAAACTCAAGCGCTGGAAAGTTGTAAAGCATGGAAATTCTGCATGGAGAGGAAAGAAAAGGCATGGGGAGGGGGAGGAGGAGAGGCTGAAGGGCTCACCAGATTGGAAAGCCTTTTTGGTGAAATGGGAAGGGTGGGTTAGTGAGGTTTTTTGATATTGGGCTCGGTAAAATGTCTAAGGAATGAGAAATAAAGAATGAGTTGGAGTTGGTCTTGGTGCTATATAGTGCTACTTTACCGATGACTCTAACCATTGGCAGATTGTACAAGTTGAAAAAATTGTGATGGACTTCTGGAAATTTCTAGGTTGGGTTGTGGGAAAGATACTGAACACAGATAGATAATGCTGATATTGAGATATCAGGTAGTGTTTCTCATATTACATTGAACAACTTGGCATTGCCCTTTGAATAATTGCAACTCATACCCTTCTTTCGTCGCGTCATGTCGCGTCGGATATTATGCAATGAAGTTCCTCTGGTATACAAACTAGTGGACTGTTGTATTTGAGAAAGAACTGTGATTGAAACTTGAACTTGTTCATAGTTTCTATCTTCTTAGCTGTCCTGGTTTCTCATGGTTTTATCTACGTACACTACATCTTCAATCCAAGCAACAATGTTGAATGCCAAACCTTCCAATACTCTTGAGTAGCTCTCTAGGATTGCTTGTCCCACATCCTGCAAGAAACTAACATTCTTAAACTTTCGTAGGTATTTTCTAACAATATCGAAATGACATTACTGACTTAAACTAGTAATAGGTCAAGTTACGACTCAATGTTATCAAGTTAGGATTGACCATAATGAACTTGGAATCCAAAAAACATGGAATGGAGCCCAACATTGATCCTAAATCCTTGTCCCAAAATAGTTTGTTGCTCATCGTGTCCTGGCAAGTTCTCAATCCGTGACCGTTAAGAAAAGGGAAGACTACATTACCAAATACCTTAAGATTGCGAAATTACGTGTCAATTAGGCTAAGTTATGACTTTATAGAGTCGGGGATTGAGTTTTTGGGACCCATTTGAATTGCAACATAAACCGTTACGAGTCATAACTTGATCTGACTTTAATTATAACCATTACGAGCCTTGACTATAAAATAAACTCTTACCCTATTGTATTGTATCTTGCTGGTGTCCAACGTTGTCTGTGAAAGTTCAGGATATCTCTGTTTCAGGCAAAACAACAAACACCCTGCGCGCTCTGCTAAGACATGGTTTTTATCACTCCTGTCTGTATCAGACATGAGATCTTTCACCATGACCCATGATGATTTTGAGTTGCTCAGGCAGGCTTTGCGTCTCCATGTGTACATTGAAGCTTCAACCTTGTCTGCAAGCTCAAGTGCTTCATGTTCAGTGCTTAGGTTGAGACAGTCAAGTAGATATTCAGGAGAGAACTTGTCTGCTGTGTACATGTAGCGGTATATTGCATCTCCTACACTTGCTCTTCCACTCTGATAACAAAATCATAGAAGCTGTGATTAGCAAAGGTTTGAGATTGAAGTTAAGGTTTCATCGCATGTTCTAGGTGTTTAAATGTAGGTTTAAATCTATCGAATTTTTTCCATGGAGACTCAAACCTACAATTAAACGAAAAATTTGAATTCTTACCCACTAAATCAATCACTCGGTGGTTGATAGTTTAATTAAGCCTACGTTGTTGATACAATAGTTACTTCCGATTGATCTCGGTTAATATGGGATGAATTTTTTTGGCATGACATGAAATTAGTGGGTTTAGTATCGATTAGTTTTCGACACATATATGAAAATGACACGATTAATTAAAATGAATAACAAATGAATCGGATAAGTGTCATACAAAAATAATTCAATTTGGACACGATAAACTCATTATTATTTTACGCAAAATAAAAAATATTTGTTTTCTTTTTCAATTTTTAGTTTGGTATGTATGAATACCCTGTGACTCTAAATGACTATTTGCTTGGTTATGCTAGCATTTGGATTGAATGAATTTTTAGTTTATGATGAACTCCGATGGTGTGTAGGTTGAGAGAAGTGGTCCTAATTCTTAATTCATGTTGGGTTAGCGTCAGATCAATTTCGAACACAACACGATTAATAAAAGTAAAATTAGGATGAAAAAACACGAAATAACATAATCCGAAAATATGTGCATAGAAGACTAACCTTAGGAAGTGAAGCAATGTAAGTGTCTGGAATTTCCATTTCTGTAAGAACACTGCTATTGATGGCCATGGCTGCCTTGTGAATTTGGTTAGCACAGTCACGTTTGTGCCGCAAGTGCTTCCTCGCCTTCTCGGAAAGGCCACCGTGAGGAACACAGGGAACCGGCAACCACCACTTCTCCTCCGCACGCTGAGGCTGCACCACTCTCCTGAATGATCCTGATCTCGTCGACTTTTCAGACATACTCCCCTGTTCTGCATACCAAAACTCAGTCTCCTCAAAGCTCTCCAGTATTTCCTGTCAAAGAAATTAAAGTCATATCCTTGACTTAAGGAACTATCTTCCTGCATACAGGATAAAACTGCGCATATTTTTAGTCTTTTTCGAATTACAGAGTGATGAGAATCTCCGCACACGAGATAAAACTACGTGTCCTTAATCTGTTTCAAACTAAAGTGTAGAGTTTAGAGATAAAACTGCGTGAATTTAATCTTTCTCGAACTAAAAACAGTAAAAAGTGGTAAGAGTCTCGTGCACTTACTAGTAGCAGAGCATCAAGCTTTCTCAAAGCAGGTAGGTTGATGTAAATATCTGATCTTGGTCCACTTGTCATCACCTAAAAACAAGTTAAAACCAAAGGTAGGAGTGTAAATAAATTGAGGTGTTTATGAATAGCTCAAGATTATGTAAATAAATCGGTGTGTTTATTGAAACTCGTCACAACCCCTAGTCAATACCAAACACGATTTACAAACAAACCGAGCCTGAACAATTAGAGCTCAACTCGGTTCTTTTATAACTATTTTTAAGTATCATTGGGGAAGTCTTTACCTCAACAGGTGTTCCATCTTGCAAGTTCTGTGAGGCTGGGATGAGTTCTACAATGTAATCACAAACTGATAATAGGCAATTCATTTCTCTCTTCCACATCAACCTCTTCTCAGGGTGCAAAGGTTGTAGTTTCAGATGTTGCCCAAATACAGAAGCTGCACAAAAATAAAACTGGATGAGCAATGTGAGAACAATTCAATCGAGTCGTATTCAGATCGTGCCCGATATTAGTCAACTTTAGTCCAACTTGTGTTTAATTGTGTTTGTTCCGATCGGCATGTGCATAACCAATGGCCTAGAAATCTAGAATTAGAATCCCCTGTCTAACTCTAACTCGGATTGGTTATTATACATATTGGCGGTGGGTCGATCATATGATTTTTGAATTCATATCTAGAATTATTGAGTTCTATCTTATTGATTTCTTATCAAATTCTATCGTGTTAACGTGTTGAATTTTAAAAATTAGCACTCCTACTTCAATAACATCAGTTGAAAATTTTTACCATAGAGATTGGTTATGGAATTTGAGATAGTCACTGCTGTGCAAACTCCTTTCCCACTTCCAGACATGTCCTCACCCAACAATAGCTTTGAAAATCTTTCCTTCATCATTTCAAGCTCTGCCAACATTTTCATACCAATTCAGCAATTTTAGAGAGAGAGAGAGAGAGAGAGAGAGAGAGATCAGATGAACTTACCTAAATCTAAAGGGTCTTGATCACCAACCTTGTTCTGCATCATTCCAATTCTTGTAAGAACAGCCTGACGAGGAGATTTCATGGCAGGCCAGATCAAAGGAGAGGCTGTTTCAGAACTACTGTTCTCATCTGTGGCTTCTGAGAAGCCTGAAGCCTCTGAATTTGTTCTGCAGTATGGAAAAGAATCAACACTTTGAATCGAAAACCCGGGTGTTTCTGTAGGTGATTGATCATTTTGATCCACTGAAGAAGACGAAGGCTCATAACCCAGATCATAACTCTCTTCCGAATTCACTGTGCTGTCCATTTTGAAGCTCTCAAGAACTTCTGTTACTTGCTCCTCAAGTTTTAGAATCGGCAAAACGTAATGTTTCTGCATATAATCATGAAAATGTCACATGAATATTTTTTTTTCTACATGCTCAAGATTTGAAATCTTGATGGAATTGGTGGGAATTCAAAGCAATTTGAATCAAGAACAACCCGGGAATGGGCTTGAATTTTAGAATCAACAGCTAAAGAAGAAAAAAAAAAGCTACGATTTTTATCTTTTTTTTCTCAGAAAAAGATAAAGAAATGAATGAGATGTTGTTATCTGAACTTTGAATAATTCACTGAAAGTTTCTTCACAAAGCAGTCTGTGAATGGTATCTTAGAGGTGGAAAAAAAACCTGAAACTTGAAAATTTAAAGGCAACGGTTGAGAGAAAAGCAACGGTAAACAATTCTTTATGTTTTTACCTTTAAATGTAGATTCGAATTTGAACAGTTGTAACTCTAGCTGATGACCGTTTGAAACAGTTCCCTCTTAACTCTCTCTCTCTCTCTTTCATTATCTAGCAACCTTTTCTTTCCAAAAGAAGAAGCTTTCTTTGAACAAAACCCAGATCACCATGATCATGAACAGCAAGAAATGTCAGCCATCTGATCGCAAAATCGCCCGTTTTCCGATCAACCAAGACACAACCTGATGCAGAATCGGTTCTAAAATTTTTCTCGAAAATTATTTTTGAATACTACTTTTTGAAATGCAATTCAAACACGTCCAATGTGTTTGGTACTAAGATTGTATTTGTGATTATGGAAGTATTGGGTTTGTTTTTTGGTTGAAGAAGAATGAGTATTGAAATATTTATACGAAGTGGACTTAAAAAATAATACAGTGGGGACTTCAGTTATATGATTTGGAATTATATAATGAAAGATATTTCATTACATAGACGTGCATGAACTGGTTCCTCAGATGCTTCCATCAAATTAATTAAGGATTAATCATGTTTTATTCTAAGTTAAATTATGGCCAGTTTAGAGGGAAAACGAATATCGGTTTTTTGGATGGACAAGATGATAGAGTTTTGTAATAAAGAAGAAGATGATTCTAATAGTAATCTAACTACGGGTATATCAAGTGGTAACTGGAGGAACCTATAAACACAGATTCTTGAGTTTAAATTTTAGTACCCCATTGGAGGAATTAAAAACAAGATGATAGAGTTTTGTAATTAAAAAGAAGATGATTCTAATAGTAATCTAATCAGGGATAGATCAAGTGGTAACAGGGACAAATTATAAACAAAGACTTCTTGAGTTCAAATCTTAGTGACCCTTTTAAGGAATTTATTTCTTATGAATACTCTAGTTTCGGCGTGGATAATCAATTTTTGAACAAGTTGAAAATGGGATAGTTGAAGTGCATGTAAGTTACCGCCCAACCCAAAAAACAATAGAGCACATTTTTGCATTTATATTTTGCATTTGCATATTTCAAAGGAATGAGTTAACGTTAAAAATTGGTTACCATGGTTCTCTCTTGTGGAATTAGATCTTGAATAGTTTACTTTTTTGCTCGACGGTATATAATCTGTTATAAATTTAATTAGATTTATTGTATATAAACTGTGATATTTTTATCTAAAATTGAAGAAATGTTTTTGGAGGGGATTTAAATCTCTTTGTAGGTGTTAAAAATAGGTACATAAAAACATGGTTGTCCGAGTTGGATGTTTTCGATAATTTATATGATGTTGTAGTTAGTATTGTCGGGGGTTAGGGTAAGAGGCAAAGAGTCAATTGATTCCTAATTTCTGTTAGTGGGGGAAGAAAGGTCAAATGGGTTGGGAGATAGACGTGGACACCATTACTGAGTCCTTGTGACTCTTGTTATTTTGGTGTGGCTTTGTGGAAGTATGGTGGGGTTGACATAGAAGAATTAAGGGAATTTGAATTATTGAACTTTGGTCAAATGCCTCTATTAAATTAGAACAAATGCATGAACCTAACTTTGGTTCTGAAAGATGGTAGAAATTAGGAAATCCATTAGAAAAAAATAAAATCGATGTGAATGTCTTGTATTTTATTCCAATCCAACGTTGAGTTATTTTTAGGGTTTTAGTTGGGAAATCTATAGACCTTAATCCATGGAGTAGAGGGCGGGCCGATTTGAGGCACATTTTTTGAGTACTTCATTTTTTTTTCTAAAACCAACTCAATTAGAAAATTAGGATTTTTAGAATGGTCTATTTGTATATGTACTTATATACATTTGTGAGAGGTGGTATCCCTATCACAACACTAGACAAGTTCAGTTGACGGACTATTTTTTTTCGAGGGAGGAATCGCTTTTTTCTCAGTATCGGAAGGGAAAAACTAAAAAATTAACTAAGTTCTTCAAAAGATCTATCAAACTATGGAGTGAATGATTTGATCAATGAATATTCGATTCTTTCTTTAATGTAGAATTTCCTGTTCTCATTTAGTGTTGACAAATTTTCAATCTTCATATGACTTTTGCAATATTTTTGTATGTTGGACTTTGATGAGATTAGTCTGAGCTTCGCGTTAGTTGGCCTGATTAGTCGAGCTTCGCGTTAGTTGGCCCGAATACCTCTGACCGTTGAAATAAATAAATAAAAAGGAGTAGGAGTTGATATAGAATTAGGGCATTTGAATTATTGAACTTTGTTCAAGTGCTTCCCTTAAGTTCTTAAAAAAAAAAATTGCATGAACCTTCTGTTGTGGAAGAAGGCAGAAATTCTGAAAACTATGTGAAAAAAAAGATGCAAGACCCCATACTTCACAGTTACCATCAGCTAGCTAGCTCAGTTTTGTTAAGTCTTTTTGACAGACATACCTAGGAACAGGATAAGGTCGTACTCGTACGACTTATTTAAATCTCTTTCAATACACTTTTTTTCATTGTTGCTCGATTTTGACTAGAAGCATTAAAAGGGAAAAGAGCATATAAAGAGCTGAATATAAGTTTCATTGTACATCATCAGGTATAATAACAATTTCAAAGCAATAAAATTGCCCAAAGCTGTGGAATATCATCAAGAAACAAAAACTTCACCAAAGAAAAGTAATAGAAGAGATAGTAAAACCTCTTACAGTTATTTTCTATGAGCTTGTTCTAAAGGTATACAACTTCAATGTTCCATCCAAATATAACATTCAAAGCTCCGATAACAAATTGATTGATCGAGTACAGAGACAAGAGGTCGGTTGGATATGACTCACTAAACTAACTACTAGTTTTGCTTCCTTTTTTTTTTTGGGTTGAGACCTAACTTTGCTTCTGCTTATCTATTGATTTGGTGCTTTTATAGGAAAACAAGAATCTCCACCATGGGATTTTCCAGAATTTTGTAATAGTACTACACATAGATTGCCCAAGTTCCTTTTCCTCCGTAACACATTCTCTTCTTTCTGCGTGTACTATTTTCTGCAAGTCAAATAGAGTATACGTTATTTAGCATCCTAGTACATCTGTAAAATCAGCAATATAAGAAACAAAAATTAATGGACATTATGCAGAATAATCATACATTTGAAAAAAAATTGAGTCCAATCTTTATCTGTCCTTTGTAACTGTCATCTTCAAGCACCACATTATGTGGAGCAGGTCTCAGCTCTATGAATCCTCTGTCATTTGCCTCGACAATTATTCCTTCAAGATAAACTCTGAAACGAAAAAAGTGTAATCATGAAAATAATAACACTGAATAACAATAAGACAAGCACACATCTGTGTTTAAATGTTTCAATAGTTTCACATGAAATCGTTGAGTATGTTACGAACTGTTATGGTGCTTAATAGAACCAGATGAAGGAGAGGATTTTAAGCAATATGCAGACAGTTTGACATTTCTTATTGCACAAACCATTATAAATTACTTGAAAATGCTTTATTTTGGTACTATCAATAAAAGTTGGTTTGCAAGTGTGTGCATGCGTATGTGAACTCGCCAGATAGCAGTGATAAAAGAAAGAAAACCTGATAAACGACTACCACAGAACATAATTTATGTACTTCGATCACATTCAAGATAAAATTGGTGAAATGTCATTTACAAGTGCAAGCTAGAGCAGGGAAGCATCTGATAAACTCTGCATACTGATTCTCCTCTCCCAACTATCAATGGCATTATGTATATTGACAGGGGTGTATTACAATTGCATAACCACTAATAGTAAAAGCTATGGAGGTTATAGTTATTTGAGCAGAAAACATGCATTCTAGGATTAAGGACAAAAGTTAAAGAAGATATTCAACCTGTTATAGGGGAAAACATAAATTTAATAAAACTAAATTTATGAAAATATATGAGTACTAATTAATTGGACCTAATTTGAAGTAAAAACATGCTTTAAGCAAAGAAGTTACACTGTTTCACCAACAAATCCACCATCTGTGAAATATTCCTCATCCATGATTTGAAATTTAAGGTGGGTCACGTTTTCCCAGTCCGACAATGGCAATTCAAATGTGAAATCCTCATTCCAGCAAATTTCTTCGTGATTACCTGTAGCACTGAACTTCATTACTTGGAAAACCAAAGGATGTTAAAATTGAGAGTTGGAGAAATTAGATTGTTTATTTGCTTTGATGGGGCATCCTAGGAAGGTTTACTAGAAGTATACCTCTGGAAGTCTTGCTTCTACGCACCTGAGTTCCACATTCAATGACAACATAATAGGCCGGTCTCCCTACAAACATAAGAATAAATTCAAAATGTCAACAACAGCCATAGAGTATAAAACCAAAGAACAAGAAAATCAACTGGAAACTGCAAATCAAAGTGCTTCCGACACTCTATGAATTGATAGCAAAATGGCATTTGTGATAATTAGCACTGAGAGAGAGAGAGAGAGAACCAATTATATTTGTATGTCTAATGCCTTTGGCACTCACAAGAAGCACTTCAAGGATACCTCCTTGCATACGAGAGAAAGAGAGAGAATATTTATTTTATTATTTGTTTGGGAGCAGGGGGAAGAACAGAAAGAGGTTTTATGGTGTAGACGTGTTGTAGCATTTATAATTATAAGCCATGGAAAAATTAATGACAGCAGTTTCAAAAGCCAGTTTAATATAGCATTTATTGAAGGGGTACAATTCAAAGAAGCACATTAAATCTTTGGTTTAATGAGATATCAAATTCACTAATTAACTAATTTCAATAAACGGCAACTGAAAATAAGAAGGCAAGAAACATAAGATGTGCTGAAAATAATATGTCAAATTCTGAGAGTTGTGATGAAAGGACCAGATTAAGAATTCAAACAATCTAATGCCGAAGGGTGCACCCATTTCTTGGAAATGAGTCCCGGCAAGTGCAACTGCCAGGAAAAGAAACGAGTTAAAAAATATGACCATTTTAACTACTTTTTTTTTTTTCACCAATGTGCTTTTGGTCCAATGGTACTCCTTGCCTTGTGAAGGTTTTGCCTTCTTAAGGTCAAGGGTTCAAGTTCCCCTTCCCCCTCCCCTCCCAAAAAAAAAAAAAAAATTTAACTACTTTTTTAAAACGAGAAAACTTGACTTTAGCTCTCCCTTAATTATTTGTTGCCTTCAGTTTTTCATATAAACCATCTAAATCAAGAACAGTGGAGTTTTCTAAAAGAACATTGAAAACACAAGGATTGAATAATGCACAGTCCCATAACTGTAGAATGGAAATCGTTCCATAGTTAGGACATGGCATACAAGACTGTAAGTATACAGTTAAAATGGCACAACAAATGTAACTAAGGTGACCATAAATGGAAAAACTAAAAAGAAAAAACTGAACAGACAATTTTTGAAAAAGGAAGTCCTAGTCTGATCTTTTGGCAAATAAAGAGTGTACAGGGTTATTTTCAACAATTAACAAGGTTAATTGAACAAAACAATAATATACTCTGTCTGGAGATCAGCCAGCTGCAGTCTGCAGAAAATCAGCTTGATTAATATCCTTCCTATAATTCGGATCCAATCATGCTATATCCTATCTCTTTCTTCAATCCCTTCTCATCTAGTAATTTTCTCAATTTCTCCACATCTTTCCATCTACCCTGTTCTGCATACAAGTTTGACAAAATCACATAGTAGCTGGTGTTTGTTGGGTCCAAACCAATGAGCTGTTGTGCCACAAGTTCTGCAATATCAATAGAACCACGAGTTTTTCTACATCCAGCAAGAAGAGATCCCCATATTCGCTTATCAGGCTCAATGGGCATTTTGTTCACAAATTCAAGGGCTTCTTCTACATATCCTTGACGGCTAAGCATGTCCACCATGCAAGCATAGTGTGCAAGCTTTGGAACAATACCATACTTTTCTTTCATTGCATAAAACCAGTTCCAACCCTCGTATTCAAGCCCACAGTGACTGCAAGCAGACAGGACAGAAATAAAAACAACATTGTTGGGTTTTATTCCACACCTCAACATGTTTGAGAAACACTCAAGAGCCTCCTCTCCACACCCATTCATCCCATACCCGTTGATCATTGAACTCCAACATATAAGATCTGTAGTAGGATTTTCATTAAAAAGAGCCATCCCTTGCCTTAATCTGCCTAATTTACAATATAGATCAATCAATGATGATATAAAAAAGGTGTTGGAGGAATAGCCTGCTTTCGTTACATGAGCATGTATGCTTTCCCCAATTTCATGAGTAGCAACTGAAGAACAGGATTGTAATAGACTTACGAAAGTGATCTCGTTAGGCTTTTCATTTGCTAATTGCATCTGTTTAAATGTATCAAAAGCATCACATGGGTGTCCAGTTTGAGCATAAGCTGATATCATTGCACTCCAAGCAATGTGATCTTTTGGATGGAGTTGATTAAATACAATTTTGGCTGACCCCACTTCACCAACTTTTGCATACATTTGAAGAAGCGCAGTCGCTGTGGAAACAAAAGCCAAAAACCCACATTTCAAAACAAGGCCATGAGATCCCAGTCCAAACTCAAGTTTTTCTGCTTGTAAAGATGCTCCAATCACTTCCCCGATAATAGTTTCATCTGGTTCAAAGCCAGAAGATCGCATTTCAGAAAACAAATTCAGTGCTATTTGGGGGCACTCATTTTCAATACACCCATGAATCATACTCCTCCAAGAAATGATATCCTTCTTTGAAATCCTGTTAAAAATCTGAATTGAGGACTCAAAATTCCTATGTTTTGCATATACATTTACAAGTGAGTTTTGAACATTTGTATGCGAATAATATGCCTTTTTGATAGAACACCCATGTACCTGTTTTCCAAATTGCAAAACATTAAGATCAACACAAGCAGGCAGTATGCTTACAATGCTCACATGATTTGGTTGCAAGCCATAAAATTGCATTTGCCTGAAAAATTCAAAGGCTTCAATATATTTCCCATTCTTCACACATACAGAAATCATTGCGCTCCACAAAACTACATCTTTATATGGCATGTCATCAAACAATTTCAACACAGCTTCCATGTCCCAAACAGAGTAAACTCCTAAAAGAGCTGTTACAACTGATACTTCCAAATCAAACCCCATTACGATCACCAACCCATGAATTTCTTGTGTCATGTCTTCCGAACCAAGAACATTGACAGCCTGTATAATGCTCAACACTGTCACGTAATTCGGTTTGTGATCATTCATAAGCATTGTTTTGAACAACCCAATGGCCTGTCCCGGCTTATTTCTCCTTACCAAACTGGATATTCTAGAAGTCCAAGATATTACACATTCATTTTCACCAAAAATCTCAAATGGGTCTTCAAAATACGAAGGGCTCGAGGACAAGGAACTGTGATACGAGCTATATATTGAATTTCGAGTAAAACGCTGTCTCTGGGTAATTCCTGCGAACAGTCGGTATGCATTCTGAAAACGAGGATGCATATGATATATACCGATGAAAAGAATGGTATATGTTTGCTTTTCTATTGATTAATGGAGAAACAATCCAATTTTTCTTTGTGGGTATGAAAGAAACTGCAGAAACAACAGAGAAAGACCATGAAAGATTGAATACCAGCGAGTCCCGCCCGAATTCAAACAAGGTCACATGACAGAGGTCGCAGTATGGGCATTGGCATAAAGTGGCATATCTATATAATAAAACTCATAATTAAATTGCATAAAGTATAATAACGGTTTAAATAAATATTTTAAATCTGACGATTTATAATATAACTTAATATATTAATTTTTTAATTTGAGTAATTCGATCAATTTATATTTAACTTTTTAATCACAATAAAAAAACGTGTTTTGCCCGGAAAATCTATTAATACGAAGTTTATAAGCATGAGACAATTGTTAGACGCTCTTATAGACACATTTTTTTTTTTGTCCAACGTTATTATAAGAATACGATAAAATTTAAACTCGTGATTTTAAGATTCAATAAGAGGACGATAATAATTTGACCATGCTCTAATTTTGGGTGGTTCTAGGCTTTTCTAACTACTCATGGACCAAGTTGACCCTTAGACCCTGAGTGTGCCTCCTTTTTTCTTCAATTTTTTAGGCATAAGTGATGGTTTTTTTGGGTAAGTTCTGATCACTAGTAATACGACTAATATATTAATTTTTCAATTTGAGTAATTCAACCTATTTCACGTAAGTCAAGTTAGTAAACACAATTATGTTTCAGAAAAAAACGTGTTTTACAAACACGACTAACGTATAAATTTTCAAAACACATGGTTGGTCAACCACTTTGCTTCAATACACGTTAAATGCTGACAAGGCAAAACTTTTAAATAAATATGGAAATTTGTGAGGCTTAGCATGAGAGACATCAAAGTTTACATGTCTCATTATACTCGTACAATATAATTAGTTAACTCACAAATGAAGGAAAACAGTTATACAAATATACAAATTTAATTTTAGTTCTCTGTAATGATCGATGTAGTTGTAGTATTTTAAAAAAAATAATAATGTAATTGTTGACTTGTACCTACAATATCTCATTTCAACCGAGCCATAATTGTCTATTTAGATAGATAATTGTTGTTTATCTTTCCTTAACTTTCATAAACGTTATTCCCAACTATTTTTTTGATATGTTTTTGCAACATCTCTCGCATAAAGTCATTTTAGAAAAGAGCACCGGCCGAGCGCCATGAATGAATAAGAAATTGACATCAATGATTTTTTATTCGACCGAGTTGAAGCTAGCAACATGTACATCTTAGATCATTTTAATTTCAATTTCTCCATTCTAATCACATTCAATCATTTACTAATGATTTCCTTAGCCCTCACAACTGAACTTTTATGGGTCTGTCATCGACACATGATGAGATCGACTTTTTAAATTTAGTAGTACATGATTAAACTTGATCGAAATTAACAAAGTACGAAATATAGATGGTCCAAATCTCTCATATAATTTTTTGTCACCATGAATGACTTTTATCAAAGTTTCAAGGTTATATACCACCTTGGGGGCACTCTCATTTTCAAAGTCACTCTAAGGGAAGATTATGAATTCTTAGATGCTTGGTGACCAAGCACTGTTACTGGTCAGAGGTTCCTTAGAAGAATTAAAACTGAAAAGGACCATGCAGAAAATAGTATAAAGAAGTGCATATGACCAGGTACCTTCTTCTTACTTGCCTTCTGCAACTTCATTCACATGCAGACTAACAATTCAACCCTAATATCATTGACTTAGTTTACATAAATAAGTACAAATTGTTCTATAAAACCCCAGTAGTATATATAAACAATGAACATATCTTAGTTGTCCCTTTCCTTTCATCGTAGTAGAAGTCATTAATTCCTCAAAGTGTAATCAATTACATCGTAGTTGCGACTCAATGAGATTGCAAAAGTTATTTCATCGGGTTATAACTTGGTATGTATAAATCGTAATTTAATCTGATTGAATTACAACTTTCAATGTAATATCGAAAAGCATAAAGGATCGATCATTCTTAACCACACAAAAGTTCAAACCTATATGTATTGCATAAATATTTTTCGAACTAGTTTTTAAGCACTTTAATTAATTTTTCAATAATCCGATCAGAGACAGGCAGATTATCCATCCTCGTCCAATCAAAGACAGGACTACGTGTGTGTATATGTATGTATACCTCTTCTTTGTTATGTGTTGAGTGAGCACCCACCTATATCCCTATATAATAGCCCAACCTAGGTGGACAAAGGAAACCTTTTTCAGTACTATTTTCAAGAAAATGGTTACAGAATCCCAGACATCCATACAACTGCCAGTTGTAGACATTTCTAAGCCACTGCACCCATCTTCTCTCTCCATTCTTGCAGAAGCCTGCAAAGAATGGGGTTTCTTTCACATAACCAATCATGGGATCTCCAAAGATCTTTACAACAAAATTCATTCTCTCTCCAAGCGCCTTTTCAGCCTCCCTTCTGAGACTAAACTCAAACTTGGCCCTTTCTCATCTCTGAAAACTTACACTCCTCATTTCATAGCCTCTCCTTTCTTTGAGAGTCTTAGAGTTCGTGGACCAGAGTTTTCTGCCTCAGCTCAGAGTTCTGCAGATGCCCTCCTTGACCAGCAAAATTCTGAATTCAGGTAATATTCTTTTAGCTTTACTATCAATTTTCTCCCCTCATGCATACTTTTGTTTGCTTTCTCTCTCTCTCAGAGTTCAGTATCGTATCAAAAGTTATGGCCTCAATTGGGTTTTGCACCTCAATCGAGCTTAAATGTTATGATTGATTGTATTTCTCAAAAGACAACCTTTCATTACAACCTCTTTTGATTGAGTTGTAATCTCACTCGACTTACTAATTTTCGGTACGTTGCCGAATAGTAACCCTCCAATGGAGTAGCCTTTCCCTTCTTGGTATAGAGTGTGTGAATATTTATGTTCTTCCCCTTTTTTTGTGTAATTTTACAGTGAGATATTGCAAGAATATGGGAGCAAAATGACAGACCTATCACAGAAAATTGTGAAGACAATGCTAATGAGCTTAGGTGAGGATTTTGAGAAGAAATATTATGATTCTGAGTTCAAAAACTGTCATGGGTATTTGAGGATAAACAACTACTCAGCTCCAGAGAGTTTGGAAGAAGAGGCTGAGGGACTTGGAATGCATACTGATATGAGCTGTATAACAATAGTGTATCAAGATGAAATAGGGGGGCTCCAAGTGAAATTAAAAGAGGGGAAGTGGATGGACATTAACCCATGTGAGGGGACCCTAGTTGTAAATATTGGTGATATGTTGCAGGCATGGAGCAATGGAAAGTTCAGGTCATCTGAGCACAGAGTCATTCTAAAGCAGCCTGTGAATAGGTTTTCTCTAGCTTTCTTTTGGTGTTTTGAGGATGAGAGAGTGATCTTAGCCCCTGATGAGGTGGTGGGGAAAGGAAATATGAGGAATTACAGGGCATTTGTTTGCTTGGATTATTTGAAATTCAGAGAGAACAATGAGAGAGGAAAGTTTGAGAAAGTTGGGTTTACTGTTAAGGACTTTGCTGGGATTGGACTTCAATCTAGTGGCTAGAAGATGGAAGGCATGGCTTGCTTCATTGTTTTGAGTGGAAATTGGGGAATCCGGATATCCTCTAATACATTTTTCCTCGATTTTCATTGTCAATAAATCATAAATCGTGTGTTTATGAGGGACCCACTTATGTCAGTACGTTTTATTTATGTTAATATAGGTGTCATCTACGATTGAGCGAAATTAAGTTAAAGTATATTGAAATGAATTTGGATAGAATTGTGGTGTCGAGTTCAAGTGGTTTGACTTGTTGGTGGTTAATAACATAAACCTTGTACAGTTGGAGTTCCAACTTGAGTTTTTTTTTTTTTTTAATGAATTATTATTGTTTCATGTTTGTAGTTATGAAGCAATTTATGACATATTCTTAATGGAAATACAATGATGGGTTTACTCTAAAAGCATGTAGACATCTTGTTCCTTAATTTCCTCTTCCTAATGATAAAAATGAGATGCTTGATCAAGATATCTTACCTTTTTGGGTGGAAAAATTAAAGTTATCTTTTTTTAGACGATAACTATTGATGATATAATATTTGATTCGTAAGATGGGATTTGGATTCCACCGTAAATTATATATCACTCTTGCAAATTCAAGTGACACCTATTATAGAGTATGCTCACCTATATACGGTGGATAATTTACTATTAAAAAAAATTAAAAAAGAGAGTATTGAAGTAGATTTAGATCCAAGAAGATTAAAATATTTCCAATAAAATAGAGTTGTTACCATGAAGTACTATTTGAATTTTTCTCTTTCTTTCCTTTTCTTTCATTTTTTTTTGTTCAAAAGTCAGAGGTATTCGGGTCAATTATACGCATTTTGACTAATTTCCTTCTTGGTCAGGTCAAAAACAGACCATCTACATTAGAATTAGGGTATTCATGAAAAATAAATCTCTCAATTTTGGCCCAAAGGAGTTACCAAGATTCAAATGTGATACCTCTTGATACTCCTCCCTTCTCTTTCAATCACAAGGTTGTGCATTGTACTAATTAAGTGGGTTGTTGAAAATTACTAGATCTTATGTAGCAATTAGCAACCTAAAGGATAACGGATGTCATAGATTCTCTCTTTCATGCATTATGTGGGAAATGCATATAAAGAATAGTTAAATCACTTCCTACTACCTCTTCATATTGTGATGCATATGTCACCAATTCATGCATGTTAATTAGGGGCAAGAATTTGGTCTAAAAATATTTACAATCCAACATTTACATTTTTGAAGTCTAGAGAATACAAAATCATATGATTTGAAAGTATTTATTGCAGATACTAGTGTGACAATGTTTTTGATTCTGCGATCAAATACACTTGATCAAATTTACTCTTGCGATTAGATTGACAATGAATTATATCATTGCGATTCAGACATTACATTTAGATTTGACAATTTTAAACACAAAATGCGCGTCTAAAATATTTTGACACAATAAGCTACAATAATGAGTTAAAAATATTTTGATGTAATAGGTTCACGACACGAGACAACCCATTATTAATTATAAATATATCCATCATTGCATATGTATATGTATGATCTATATATATATATATATATATATATATATAGAGAGAGAGAGAGAGAGAGAGAGAGAGAGCTGGTCAGCTTTTTTTTCCAACACCATCTTATTGCTTTGAAGAATTAATGGGAAGAGCATTAAGGGATTAAACAACCCATAAAGTTTGCAACTTGCTGTCAATGTTGTAAAGACACCTAAAATATAAAACAGTCAACAAAATCATCAACTTGTCACATTGTCAACCGTCCAAAAACAGGGACTTTAAATCAACTTGTTTATATTAATCTGTCATAATGGTTCTGCCACACGTCTTGTAAAGAATCCAAGCTGCAACATCAGTCAATTAATCAAATAATTACCCATCAACTTGCTATGAAAAAAATATGAATTGTTCGAGTGATTAAGATATTGTTCATTCAATTGATTACGTGATTGAGTTTATTTTTTGATAATTCAAAAAATCTTAGATTCAATCTGTTTGCACACCCTCCGATACAAGAAAGTGGATAGAATAAGAATGAATAATGAACAAAAAGAGATAAAAAAAATCAAACTGTTGATTTACGCATAAATACCAATTTAGAATCATATTCTAGATATGTTGACTCATGAAGAATGTCAGTACTAAAGACTTCAATAAGTCTGTTAATTCTTACAGAATATTAGAAGAATTGAGAATAGAAGAGACAACTCTCTCAATTATATTAATCAATCAAAAACTCCTTAACCCTAAGACTTACAAGAGTATAAATAGTGTTATAACCCTAAAACTAATTAAGAAATAACTAAACGTGACCTAATTATCATCAATTACATAATTAGACTATCAATACAAATTTTGCCATAAAAAAAATTATCAAATAATTATACTACTAAAAATTACTAATCACCCAAAAACGTCATTTTCAAGCCCTAAGTGAAGGAATTTACATGAAATTCATCCAAGGTCATTGCATCTTCTGTTAGGGGTGCTATGGGTTCATTTTACTCCACCGTTAGTGATTGGATATGGATGTTTAGAACTCTTGTATGCAGAAGGGCCTCTGAAAAGGTCAACCCGTTTGACAGTCCCGAATCATTCTCGATATCGATCTCATCAATCCAAGTATTATGTTGCTATACGATCTGCATCACCCCCTAAGGGCGGACATGCTCTAAAATCGTGATGGCTAGTTGCTAAGTTCGAGAAAATAATCGATGAAAGTCTGGACACTCTGTAACCAAAATAAAAAGTCAACAAATAAAACTCTCATTAATAATTTTATGATAATATTTATTATAAAAAATATTCTCTTAAACAAAAGTATTTGTATTTGGATAAGGCTCAAGACTTACCATAGAAACATTTTTTTAATGAAATTTTAAATTTACCTTGTAGTGTCCTCAGTTATATCTGGACTTTCATAGGAATTTGATATTATCTACCATTCATATTCCTATCGACAATTAAATTCACCAAATATAGAAATAGGATAGAGTACGAACGCACAATTAATTGAAAAAAATGGTGGACATGGAGGATGAAGGAGATAACCATAAATGCTTCGTCTCACCACGAAAGTCTCCCTTTATACTGTTTGTAGACTTAGAAAATAAAAAATGTTCCATGGCCATTTGGAATTTATGGTGAAAGACTCTCTCTAATATGGTGAAGAGATTTTTTCTTAAATACTATATAAACATCATTATTATCTATCTAGATATATATCTAAGAAATTTAATTCTTGATTTGTAAAAATATAATAATGATTAAAATTGATTTAATTTTTATTTACTTTAATTTAACCGTACAAAATTTATTCTAATTTTTTTTTCTCACTCAAATCACATTTTTTTTAAACAGCTCCTGATGTGAGACTATTCAATCAACATAATTTTCAATGTCCAATAATTCCATTAATCCACAATTAGCTCTCTCTTTTGTCTACTACTTTTTTTTTGGGTTCGTAAATTAAGTATAAATTGCATTATTCAATAAAGAGTTAACTAATCTATTTAGTTCATGAATTATACTATTTATGTCAATCAAGTCCTTGAAATTATGTTTTGTACCAATTAAGCCCTTGAATTATGTTATTTTGGGTCAATGTGACCCTTTCATTCAAATTCGCGATTAACTTTGATGGAATTTCCCACGTGTGCATCACGTGAGTCGAGAATTACCTTAGAATATTCAATATATTAGTAATACTACATTAGCATTGATGATATATCATTAGGGGTGTTTAAATTTACGATTAGCTGCAATTTCCTACTCTATTCGATTCTACCCTACCCTATTGAGTGGCTAGCCACAAAAATCGGGTATGAATGCAGAAGAGTTTTTGGTCTTCAGATTAAATCGGGTAGAAATATGAAAATTGATGGAATGCGGAATGCTGAAGAGTTTTTGTATTCCTACCCTACCTTACCCGCAAAAAATATATTTAACTTTTTTTATATTTTTTTTAGTAATTATAAAAGTATTTGTGTGGTATAATTTATATTATTATATTGTTATTGTTGTGGATGTTTGAGTTGCGAAAATATGGACTTGTTTTTTATGTAGGTTACATGATTTGTGGTGAACTGATAATTTATTAGAGCAGTTATGATTTTACTGTGTTTCATATGCTTTAAGCTTAAAATAATTATTATTGTATTTGTGTAACAATTATGATGAATTAATGTTTATACTTTCTTATGTTTTATTGTAATTATTGTTGTAGTTATTTTAGATTTTAGTATTATTTATTTATTATACTGTTAAATTGGTGAATGTTATTTAATTGAATTGTTAAAATAAACTAAAAATTAATAGCTACATAAGTGTTTACCCGACTTTCTACCTGATTAATCGGGTAGGAAGTCGGGTAAGAATACCACACCTGATCGAGTAGGGTAGGCCAAGAAAAAATTCTTTCGTAAAATATTAGAGTAAAAAAACGAAAGACTATATTTCCTACCGTATGATAGAGTAAACACCCCTAAATAATATCAATCACTAATAAAATTTTAAATGAGAAAAGTCAACTCCACTTAAATAGTTATTAATTTACATGAAATAAAAATGAGTAATTATCTGTTTCGATAGGTAATTATTGACTCATGTAAAGTTTATTTTTTTATTTATTTACATATTATTGATTAGTGATATCACTTGATTTGATGATGAGCAACGTTAGATAATCCAAATTTACATTCTAAATGAATGAAGATCATTAAATTAATGGATCCTATTTAAAAATATTGATAAGACTCACTCATCTAACGGTCCCGTTTATTTATTTAAAATACAAATTTAAGTTACGTGGTATTTTCCCTCGTTAACCGTTGCAATGAATAATTTTTCCCATAATTGTTAGCTACGGACGGACACAAAACAATCCCGTGGGTACTGTGGACCCCATTTGGCACATGCGAGACGCATGATTCGCACGTCCGAAGATAAGTCTGCCCAAATGCCTCATCCGTGTCAATCCCACATTCTCAGACACGCTCGCACGCGTGCCAAACCCTAGCCTTCGCATGCTCCGCACATACCACCGACTCTCTCTCTCTCTCCTCCGCCGGAGCCTCGCCGGAAAACCGAAGCTTGAAAAACACGTAAGTTCTCTCTCCGTCATTTGTTTCTCTCTCCAGTTTCCTCATCTCATTCATCTCCGGTCACCCAACTCCGGCCAATTTGCCGGAATATTCTCTCTCCCGCCGCGAAACGACGTCATGTAGATCTGTGCTTTTCTAGGCCAGTGATGATGATTTTAGGTGTTTGTGAAGGTGTTAGAGAGCTTGAAACGACGTCTTGGAATATATTTGCGTATTTTAGCTGTGATTGAAGCAATAAATTGGGGTAGACCGAGAAAATAAGGAAGCAGTCGTTGGAACATGGAGAATTTCAACTGTTATTGGTCTCATAAACGTAAAAGACTCTAAACTGAGGCGTGTGTTTAAGCTGATATCGTGATGGTAACTGAACATGACTCAATTTTATTACATAAATGTTTTTTCTTATTTTTTTCTTATGTGTTTGTGATTAGACATGCCTTATTTGAAGGTGAACTATTAGCAGAAAAGTTCAAGATTTTGCCTAAGAACTATGCGTTAAAATTGATATATTATGGTTAAGTGGATATTAGATCTATATCTAGGTTCTAGAACATAAGAATAGAAGTTCATTACTTGAGAGGATGCAGGGGGGATTGGCCACGTACAGACTTTACTTTTGACGTTGTTTTCATGATGACTCAAGCCCATGACCTTGTGGTTGTTAGCTCGATAAATTGTTCTATACTGTGGAAAGAATTTCATAGGCAGTTTTTGAACTGACATAATGAATTTAGGTAGATGAGGTTTATTTTTTCTGGATGTAGGTGGAAATTAGGGAGTTTTGTCTTTGTTTTTGAATGCAAAAGATTATGATGGTTTCCATTTTCTTCGGAGCTCCAAAAATGAGGACATGTATAATTGATTGCTTTACACTTTTTTTGGGATTATGTTTTTTATTTACTTGGTTTGAGGTATGATTCATTTGTAACTCCTATTATTCCAGAAATTTTTAAGGCCAGCCTGGTGTGGTGCTTCCCATAAGGAAGCATGAATAGTTTGGAAATCACGTGTAAAGTAAAATTCTTTATCATGCCAATTGCTGCAGGAAGAACGATATGATATGATAATCACAGTTGTAATAGTTCGGGATTGGTAAAAGAAAACAGAAAGGGGAAATATGGCCACTGAGATGCAGAAATTTGGAACGAGTGAAGAAGACGATGAAGACACGGGGATGGATGTGAAAGAAGAAGACGATGAGGATGATGATGATGAAGATACGAACATTGCGACCCAGGCTATGGTAGGTGTTGATGGGGGACTTGCATCTACCAGCATCAATAATCAGTTTCAGCATCACCAGCAATTTCAAGAGCAACAAACTCCCCAGGGAGTGGCTCGAAGGTGTAGACCATTGGAAGAAAAGGAAAGAACAAAGCTGCGAGAGCGGCAGCGAAGGGCTATTACTGCAAAGATCTTGGCTGGGCTTCGCAGGCATGGGAACTATAATCTTAGAGTTAGAGCTGATATCAATGATGTGATTGCAGCTTTAGCAAGGGAAGCCGGTTGGGTTGTTCTTCCTGATGGAACCACTTTTCCTTCCAGATCACAGGTGATTTATTTCTGAAGGGAAAAAATCTCCTTGTATATGGTTTGAACAGCTCATGCAGATGGTAGTGATATCAACCTTTTGGTGCATTTGCTTGTTTCTGCTTCCAGCTGGTAGCATACAAATGAATTTGAAGGCAATGAGATATGAGCATTAGGTGTTAAATTAATTGCATATCAGAATTAAGTCTGTCTGGCTTGAATCTAGTCCCCTACCAAAGAAAAGAAGGTTAAGAATAAAGATATAGATGCAGTGAGTCTTTACTCAGATATTGGAAAAAAAGGATACCTCTTGAAGCTTTATCCATGTCATGTGTATTGACTTACTGATACGTTGAGTATGGATGTTGTATCTTTTCTTTTTCTTTTCTGAAGGTATGATTACGTATCTTCATCCTCAAAATTGTGAATTGCTTGCTTAGAATATGACTTTGGTGATGGCTGTATTATCTCTCTCTCTCTCTTTCTCACACACACACACACACACACATCTTTAGGCTCTACCATGGCAAGTGTCTCAATTGTAACTTCCTATAAAAAATAAAATTATTATATAGATAAAAGTTAAAAGAGTGAACTGTAAATTTAGAAGAAAGTTACATCCCTCGTCATTCTGTCTTCTCTTTCTCCTTTTCATATGCATAAGCTATAATTCCATGTATCATGCATAAGCCATCTTATATTTCTAGTGAATCTCCAAAACCTACCAGGATATTATCTGTTCAAATTCAACAGGGCACAAGACCTGCTAGTGGCACATCTACTTCAGCGATGCCTTCATCATCTTCACATTTGCCACTGCAGCAAACCTCGCCTGCTTCATTGAGGGCATGCCCTTCTGGATATCAAGGTACAGTGGAGTATAATGCAGATCATATGAAAGGTGGCTTTGTGCCTGCTTCATCCCCTTATAATGTATCCTCAAGCACTAGATCTCATACTTCAGCAATGGTCGGACAAGGAGATGTCCGGAATGATGCTCTTCTTGGGGGCTCCATGAATTCTGTTGACAACAACCAGGTAAGAAGTTTTACTTCTTTGATTTAAGATTTTATGGATTCTAGTTCCCATCTGTTGATATCTTTTTGCTGATTTGGTAGTCTCTCTGCAATATGATTAACACCTAGATATTTCAAACCATAATGTCATGTTTTATTTTTTCTTGTGATTGATTTTAACCAATCACTCATCCAATGTGTATTTTGTACATTGCATCATGGGAAGAATGTTTCCCAAGCTCTATGTTTATTGCACTTACATTCTTCCAAGCTCTATGACTACTGCACTTACATTTGGTTTTGAAGCTATCTCTACTCTGACCTGTGCAACTATCACCCTCTGAATGCACCCTTTTCTGCACCTTTTGTTAGGTTGTTGACATATCCACAAAGTTACAGGAGCATAATTTTGCCGGCACCCCTTATGTTCCTGTTTACGTGATGTTACCGGTGAGTTTTCTAGTTTACCAGCTACTGTGTCCATTCCACCCCTGGTATTTTCTTAATTATATCTTCTTCTCTAAGAAGAGACATTCGGGAATTATATAGAGAGTAAAGTTGCTTCAAGGGCCGCTCTATGTGGACCAGTCTATATGTAAACATGCTTTAGTCTTTTATATTTCTTTTTGGTACTTAGTCTTATGAACAGAGCTTTATTTAAGTGTTGATAAATATATTTGTTGCTGGGCCTGCTCTTATTGTCGATCATGACCACTGTTTCGAGTTGTACACTAGTTTGTATCTTTGACACATTCGTTCTTTTGGGCTGGCAGTTGGGTGTCATCAATATGAAGTGTGAACTTGTTGATCCAGATGGTCTGCTAAAGCAACTAAGAGTCCTGAAATCGATAAACATTGATGGTGTTATGGTTGATTGCTGGTGGGGCATAGTTGAAGCACATGCTCCGCAGGACTATAACTGGAATGGCTACAAGAGATTGTTTCAAATGGTTCGGGAGCTTAAGCTCAAGTTACAGGTGAGACTCGTGTAAGATATATTGCAATGATTGCACTAGAATGTATTGCTTTCTTTTTTCTTTATTTTCCTTGGTTCCATTCTCTTAGTTCTCAACATATATTCTTTAACATGTTACTGAAGTAATAAATACACAGTTGCATATTCTTAAGTATATTACTATTAAGCTAAGGTGATGTCCCATTGTATGTTGTATTCATTACTATTAAGCTAAGGTGGTGTCTTTCAGTTGATTGGATATTTTTAAGTAGAGTTGCATGTACGTTGTAAATATTCCCTAGCTGATTGGTTTTCAGTGAGTTACAGTTTCTGTTATAGAATTGTCTGAAAATCTATGCTGAAACTGATCAAGTTTTCAATGGGCTTAGGTTGTCATGTCCTTTCATGAGTGTGGAGGCAATGTCGGCGATGATGTTTGTATTCCACTGCCCCATTGGGTAGCAGAAATTGGTCGGAGCAATCCTGATATATTTTTCACTGATAGAGCTGGAAGACGTAATCCAGAATGTCTCTCCTGGGGAATTGACAAAGAACGTGTTTTAAGAGGACGGACTGCTGTAGAGGTATCACTCCCAGCCCCAGGTCCCAGCCTAAATGTTTGAGAGTATATTACTGCCACCAGACCATTGCCTAGGTCAGTGGTAAAATGTTTAGACTGACACCTGTAAGGTGGTTGTTTCAAATTTGAAGACATCCAATCTTTTGCAAATAATGCCAAGAGGTAGGTCCGTACCCTGTCCAGTCCTCCTAGCACCCTTAATTAATATATGGGGACCTAAGTTGATAATTACTTGTTTTGTATAATACAAGTATTATATTATTCGTCATAATGTTTTATCTTGTCTACTAATTCAGCAATAAAGCTAATGAAGCTCTGAGTACTACTTGTCTATGTAGTTTTTTTTTTCCTTATGTTTTCCCCCCAATAATTGTTTCTTTAGGCCACCATCATTTTTCTCCTTTCTTAAGAACCTCTAAGAATTCCTGTATTTTGACCTTTGCGTTTTCTGTATCTTCTTTCTTTTCAATCAACACTGTACTACCATAGTTTCCTTTGGGATAATAATGGCTAAATTGACGGATTAGCTGTGAGTGGATGTGATTCAGAGTAATGATTCTTAATTCTAAAGGAAAATGCATGCAAATCTCTTTTGCATATTGACATGTTGGATATCCCCCCCCCCCCCCCCCTTCCTAAAAAGCTCCTTTGGTGCAAGTCATTATTCTGATTTAGATATTTTAGTGTTTTTATTCTCTGAAAAATGGATGTAGGTTTACTTTGACTGCATGAGAAGCTTTCGAGTTGAATTTGACGAGTTCTTTGAAGATGGTATCTTCTCTATGATAGAACTTGGACTTGGTCCATGTGGGGAGCTACGATACCCATCTAATCCTGTAAAGCATGGTTGGAGATATCCTGGTGTTGGTGAATTTCAGGTAATAAGTGATGCGATCTTTGCAGTCAGACGTTCTCTTTATTTTTTTTTTAATCTTTAATTGGTGTTCTTCCTTAATTTATTTGTCCACCTGTTGTAATCTTGGTTTTGGTTTATTTTTTCTGGAGAGTGGGTTGAGGATGAGGAACAAGTAGGAAACAGTTGTAATTAAGAGGACATTATAATTCTTTGTTAACATGTACGAAAATGTGCTTGAGAAGTGATAATTTTCCAACAAACATATTTTCAGAATTGCTTGGGATAGCAATTCCTTTTCTTGGCTAATCCGGTTTTTTTTTCCGCCTTACATAAATCACTTTTGACTAATAAAATTGATCTTTAGCTACTGGGAAAGATTGTGTGTCCTCATGTGCAGCAGTTGTGCATGACCTAGTTCATTTTCAATTGAGAGGGTTTGGTGGAGGGGAAATAATTTTCCAACTTTCTTCTGTCAAAACTGTTGTTGTAAGTACTCATTCAAATGTGTAGAGCTTACACATTTGTCATAAGATAAAATGTTATTGCTTTACATCTGATAATCTAGTTCTCATTATCTTCTGTGGAGAGCTTTACCAATAATTTGCCCTATTTATCAGTCCTTTTCCCCAAAGCATCAAACCAACATGTTCCATTTATTGCAGTGTTATGATCAGTATTTGTTGAAAAGCCTCAGGAAGGCAGCTGAAACAAGGGGGCACACCTTTTGGGCACTGGGTCCTGATAATGTGGGTTCCTATAATTCCAGGCCACACGAAACTGGATTTTTTTGTGATGGAGGTGATTATGATGGCTATTATGGCCGGTTCTTCCTTAATTGGTACTCTCATGCTTTGTTGGATCATGGTGATCGGGTGCTTTCTCTGGCCAAGTTAGCATTTGAAGGCACTTGCATTGCTGTAAAGGTGAGTCATCTTTACAGATTACATTGTTTCTTTTGATAAGGGGTGGATTTTATATAAATTCCTTTGCTGCAAAGTAATGAACATTATGTTCATCTTACATAATAAAGATCACTATAAGAAATTAATTGTTCTTGCTATATGTTAGTATGAAGTTAATCTAATTTCCTAACCATATTTTAACTTTTGAGCAGCTATCAGGTATTCACTGGTGGTACAAGACTGCCAGCCATGCTGCTGAATTAACTGCTGGGTTTTACAACCCGTGCAACCGAGATGGTTATGCGGCAATTATGGCAATGTTGAAGAAGCATGGGGCTGCCTTAAATTTCACGTGTGTTGAATTAAACAGGTTAGACCAGCATGTAGACTTCTCAGAGGCCCTCACCGATCCCGAGGGATTAACCTGGCAAGTAAGTGTTAGGCACTTTGCATTTGATTTGATGTTTACTGCATGAGCTTTTCATTTCTTCAGGATTAACAGATTGTTATCAGAACAGAGTTTGTAAATGTGGAAAACTATATGCAAAAATATTGTAGATGTTTGTTTTGAATTTTACCTCATAAAAATCATTTTATTTTCAGGTGCTGAATGCTGCATGGGATGTTAGCATACCAGTTGCCAGTGAAAATGCTCTTCCCTATCACCATAGGGAAGACTACAATAGGATATTGGAAAGAGCCAAACCATCGAATGACCTAGACGGAAGGCATTTTTCTGCTTTTACCTACCTTAGGCTCAGCCCACTTCTCATGGAAAGACACAACTTAATGGAGTTTGAACGATTTGTCAAGCGAATGCACGGTAAGCAATGGACGCTGCCTCTATTCTTTGATTAAAAGTCTCAGCATTTTGAGGTTCAAAACCACCAGTGTAGTTTGCCCAAACCTTTTGCATCTCTGTTCTGTTCTGTTCCATCAGACAAGTATATGTGCAAGGCACTAGAGATATACATTCATCCGATCAAATTAAATTTGAGCATGTTTGAGTTGTTTTTGACAGAGGATTCAGTGGTGGCCTAATGACCAACCACCCTGCCGTTGGACCTAAAGGTCGCGGGTTTAAATCTCACCCAAAAAACTGTTCTAGTTGTTTTGACGTGTATGCTTCTTTGACACATCATCGTTACAGTTAAAATTTTTGGTTGATTTTTTTTGTTTTTTCCTCTATTTTCCATCGCAGGGGAAGCAGTTCTTGATGTCCAGGCATAGTTTGAAGAAAGTAGGGATATCCAACATTGTGTATTATTTAAGTCTTGCCTACAAAAAGGTGGGGACTCACCCTTGGTATTTTCTTTATACACCCATTGTAAATGAAATGCATAATGTAAATCAGACAATTATTCCTGTACTTTTTTTTTTTTTTTGGGGGGGGGGGGGGTGTTT